CGGACATACGCGATGGGATTGAGAGAGGCTGTGGATGCAAGTCGAAGAATCATTGGAAAGTCATCCCAGAGCAGCAGCTCGAGGACTACATATTTGAAGTCTCTAAACTGCGAGAATCGAAAAAGCGCTTCAACAGTTCAAGCAGTTTGTTCTGGGCGCACTGACTGGAAGCATGCGAAAGTCGATGACTGGCGGTGGTGATCGACCTTTCTATTTCCGCTATCATGTACGTGGTTACGAGTTGTGCAAAGACGTGTTCATGGCAGTTCCTGCTGTTGGAAGTCATGTAATGAAGCGCCTTCAAAAAAAGCAAACAAAGGAGTCGTTCAACTGGCACAACATGGCTTGACTGGGAGAACACCAGAGCACTTGGCCATTTCAGCAGACATGGAGCAGGATGTAGTGCAGTTTATTTAGTCATAATTATGCTAAAATGTACGGTCTACGTCAACCTGCAGCGGAGCGAGGTCGTGCTGAGGACCCTCCAGTATACTTACCAGCATCCGAGAACAAGAAGTCTGCATACAACATCTACACCAAGACTGTCACACAGTATTCGCCTGTTCATTACAGGTCATTTTGCCACATTTGGAGGAGACAGGCAGCACAGTATCAAAGTGATGAAGCCAAGGACAGACGTATGCGCATTGTGTCACAATTTGTGTGACAATCTGCGGTACAAAATTCGTGTCGCCCGTACAGAGGAAGAGACGGAATGTAGTGTCCAGGCGCTGCGTTCGCACACATCGCTAGCACAAGAGGAGCGGCAGTACTACCGAGATTCAGTGGACGGCGCGCAGGCGTCACTGGATGAAGCTGAGGGCATAGTTCACTATACATTTGAACTGCCTAACTAGCAAGAATGAAGATATACAAAGAACATTACATACTGTGTACATAAATTTGCTCTATATCGCTCAATTGATATGCCATTATTAAATAGGTGGTTAGGCACATTTTACCATTGCAGATCAACTTGAAATTTTGTTTGAGCACATTACCATACCATACCAACATTTTGAGAGAAAAAAAAAAATTTCTCCAAAAAGTGCCATAGGGTGGTTTCTGTAGTCCCTGGCTCATATAGATAGATAGATATTATTATTTTTATTATTAAAACCGAAGGTAAGTTTTGGGTCGCAAGTATCCACGCAAACACACATCCAGTCACAATAAGGCACTTGTCAAAAGTATCCGAACGTTTTCGGTCCCTTCTCATCAAGGATTATACAGGGAATGTCTTAAGTTGGAAAGACTAAAACTTATACAGCGTAAAGATAATGAGATAACAACGCTCGTGACAAAGTGGAAAATTATCAAGTTCAGCACGACAGAAAACTGGAAGGAAAATAATAATAGTGACAACAACATAGTGAACAAATTAAGAGAGCATGTCTGAGAAAACCAGAACATATGTGCAAGTCGATCTCTCAGATTTCGCTCAAATTTTGCCGGTAGGTTTGCTTTGGGGTGTAGATCGACATTCCAAAGCCCGCGCAAAATCTTTTGAAGGGAACCATGAAATTGGTATACCCCTCAATATTGGCCCAATATTGGCACGATTTATGGGTCAACAAACGAGCCACGGCACAGCGTACAAGAACAAGCTACGAACAAAACTCCATCAAGCCATCATTACCTCACCTTAGAAGAGTTCTTGGGGCAGCACCACTTAGCCACGCCAGCATCCCAGAAGACGAGGGCAATCATCCCTTGACGCCACAAATGATCGTCTTGAAAATAGCCAAATTACAAGCGCTGATAAAACAGCGAGCTACGTCCTCAATTAGGAAACACTATACACCGGCAGATAGTAGAACACCTCTCCTAGCACTGAGGACATGTCCCCCATCATCCTTTTGGGGTTTTCTTGAAATAAACAATTTTGAATTTTTCCACTCGACCATTCTGAAATACGTCCAAACTCATACCTGCGCACGAAAGCTCGCCCCTCCGCGACGTCTAGTCAGCAATTTCTACTCCAACACCACTCCCAACGCTGCAGAACAAAGTGTATTGTTGACTCTGACAAGGAAACGCAGCAGTGATCACTTGTCACTCCAAACGACAAGCTTCTCCTTGCGCCACCAACATTTTTCGTTGCAACAGTTGATGCAAAAGTGACTGAATTTTTGCGTGTAGTTTTTGGATTTTACTGCAAGAGGAATGAAGGAATCACGTTGATCGTGACGTAGAATAATGCTTCTGGTACACGACACAATCATGACAATGCACACGATCACGATCGTTCCTGAGGCGCTATTCGACACGGACCATGAGGGAGGAGGTAAGATGCATTATATTTCTTGCGTGCTCTGCTCAGAACATGCAGAAACTATCGTTATAACGCTAGCAGTATTGCATTGGCAAGAATTCTTGGAGATATTTCCTCTTGCAGTAAGAACAGGGATGCATTTCTTCACACTAATCTCGCTCATCCCGAACATGGTTCAACAGGAACTACGGCTGGTTTACATGCTGATGATCCACGTAGATCTGCAACAGCAAGGAATGAGCGTGGTCCATGCCATCAAGGTCGCTTGGAGTTGACCAGCGCGCGGCCAACACTGCACTGGTTGCATGAAGTATGTGGCGCGCCCACATGGCAGATTTCTTACGTCATTAACAACGTGATTTGACCCTACTCGCCCTGTGCTGCATGTTGAGGGAAAGTCCCAGCTGGAAGGCCTACAACACGATATGCGTGCTCTTGAGCTGGACATCAAGATGCACTTGATCTGATCTAGATCAACGGGTGATCCATGTAAGTGCAGGAGCGCTTGATCAAGGTGACTCGGAACAACTGCTGAACGTGATCTACGAGACCTGGCATTCTTGTGTCACGAGGCACGTGATTTCATCATTCCTCTTGCAGTAAAATCCAAAAACTACACGCAAAAATTCAGTCACTTTTGCATCAACTGTTGCAACGAAAATTGTTGGTGGCGCAAGGAGAAGCTTGTCGTTTGGAGTGACAAGTGATCACCGCTGCTTTTCCTGGTCAGAGTCAACAATACACTTTGTTCTGCAGCGTTGGGAGTGGTGTTGGAGTAGAAATTGCTGACTAGACGTCTCGGAGGGGCGAGCTTTCGTGCGCAGGTATGAGTTTGGACGTATTTCAGAATGGTCGAGTGGAAAAATTCAAAATTGTTTATTTCAAGAAAACCCCAAAAGGATGATGGGGGACATGTCCTCAGTGCTAGAAGAGGTGTTCTACTATCTGCCGGTGTATAGCGTTTGCTAATTGAGGACGTAGCTCGCTGTTTTATCAGCGCTTGTAATTTGGCTATTTTCAAGACGATCATTTGTGGCGTCAAGGGATGATTGCCCTCGTCCTCTAGGATGCTCGCGTGGCTAAGTGGTGCTGCCCCAAGAACTCTTCTAAGGTGAGGTAATGATGGCTTGATGGAGTTTTGTTCGTAGCTTGTTCTTGTACGCTGTGCCGTGGCTCGTTTGTAGACCCATAAATCGTGCCAATATTGGGCCAATATTGAGGGGTATGCCAATTTCATGGTTCCCTTCAAAAGATTTTGCGCGGGCTTTGGAATGTCGATCTACACCCCAAAGCAAACCTACCTGCAAAATTTGAGCGAAATCTGAGAGATCGACTTGCACATATGTTCTGGTTTTCTCAGACATGCTCTCTTAAGTTACATGATGATGCTGATTTTTTTAAACGATTCAAAGCCTCTCAATTATTTTGTAATACTTGATGTACAGATACAAGAATAATAATAATCCTTAAAAATTCCATTAACTCGTTTTTGTCTGGCCATGTCTGCATCTATTATACTCTTTATTATTTTTATTATTTCTATTTTCCCGTTTCTCTCTTTCCCTCAAACCAGTTAATATTTTTATTTTTCTTATTCTTATTTTGTTAGGGGATAGATAGAAATAATATAGATAGATCGATAGATAGATAGATAAAGAGATAGATAGATACTGATCGTTATATCACAAATCTAGACTTGTATGCTGCTGCATCCACTGCCACTCTGCAACATTACCTTGATGCTTCCAAGTGCACCCTGGCACATTCAATTTTTCTTGACCAGCACCCTGCTCATTTACAGTCCCTTAATTGGTTCAATTCAGGTGGCACCACCCGAAGCTGCGTTCATCTCCCCCTAGCTAGGTCTACCCTATTCGTAAATTCCCCTTTCTTTTCCTCCTACTCCACGTGGCTCCAACTGCCTCCCAGTGTTAGACAAGCCCCAGATATGCCCAAATTCCGTACCCTCGTCAGACAGCACTTCAGTATCTCCTAGTAAACAAAGTCACAGTCCCCACTTCCGCTGCATAGCTCGCTGAGCATCCCATTGCTTTTAAGTTGCTAATCCCTTCCCACTTTGTGTACGTGCTCTTCATTTTCTTTTTTTCTCTTCTTCCGTGGTTGGTCTCACCCTCTCCTCAATTCAATTGGCTGTCTTGACATGCTACGAGGTGCAGAAATAAATAAATAAATAAATAAAAATAGATAGATAGATAGAGAGAGAGAGAGAGAGAGAGAGAGAGAGAGAGAGAGAGAGAGAGAGAGAGAGAGAAAGAGAGAAAGAGAGAGAGAGAGAGAGTGAGCGAGCGAGAGAGAGAGAGAGAGAGAGAGAGAGCGAGCGAGAGAGAGAGAGAGCGAGCGAGCGTCGAGAGAAAGAGAGAGAGAGACAGACAGAGACAGAGAGAGAGACCGAGAGAGAGACAGAGAGACAAAGAGAGAGACGGAGAGACGGAGAAGCAGAGAGGCAGAGACATAAAGAAAGAGAAAGACGGAGAGAGACAGAGACGGAGAGAGGGAGAGACAGAGACAGAGACAGAGCGAGGGAAAGACAGAGAGAGAGAGAGAGAGAGAGAGAGAGAGAGAGAGAGAGAGAGAGAGAGAGAGAGAGAGATAGAGAGAGAGATTATGGAAAATAGGTTTCTGCTCGGCTGTATTAGCATTTTTTTCACTTTAGATTCTCACTGGCATGTAGTAATCGGCAAACGTTTTTTTCTTGTTGGCACAGAGAAAGACAAAAAAAAGGTGACAATCGGCGCGAGCAATTGGCAAATAATGATCATCACACTTGGGGTGATGCTTTTTGCCGTACTGGTCACGCTTTTGATTGCCACCGTCGTTTCATCAAAGAATAGGAGAGGAAGCATGTCCATGAAGAAGACGTGGTCTAGTCCATGGTAAGTGGAATGAACACCTTTTTTTTCAACTTCCTTGTTCCATATTCACATTATTTTGATCCTTCCAGGACAATACTGGCCCCATCGGCAAGCTGCAGATCTCCTCTCTCCAAATCATGCCACAAAAGTTGTTATAGGATATATTACGACCTTTCATGTAACGACTTATTGAGCTTAGCGACAAAGTTCAGACCAAGTCGCTTAACTTAACAAAGCGGTCCATGTTAGTTAACATATGAGGGCCAAGAAAATAATAACCGATCGAGTTACGGAAACTTTTTTCTGTGAGTTGTGTGTTGCTCCCTACGTAGAAGCGACCACTTTTCCTGCTGACTTGAATTCCCACTTGACTGACCCACGACTGTCACGTTACACGAAATTACGCATTCAGGAGCCACATGCACAGAACCTGCTTGGAGAGTACGAGTATAGTTGAGTTTCATTCTGAGCAGGTTTTTTTCTTCTTTATTCAGCTCCAGTATAGCTGTATTTTTCATTGCAAAGCCGTCCTCAATTGTTGTGTTCGTTGTTCAAACTAAGTGGACATTCAATCAGGAAAACAGAGGACCTAAGAGCCTGATTGCGGTCATCCATGCTTTTATAAGAACGAAATGGCGCTTTTAGTGACATTCTGCATACAAATCCCCATCTAGTAGGGCACAGTCGCCCAGTTTCGGTGGAAGTGCGCGAGTTCGATTGGGATTCAAGTAGGAAGGGAGCGTCTCAGCTTCCTCGGACCACGACCATTCGACTCAGCACCCCGAAGACTACAAGTGGTGAAATTTTGATTTTAGCTCAAACTCTACTGGTAAAACGTTTCCGCCGCTGTAGATGATGGCGGCTGGACTGTCGTCCACAGCTGCATTGTTCGAATTACATGCCCTGAGCAATTTGCTGGAATCTCTTCATCGAGAAGGCATGGCTCGCTTCAAAGCAGTTTTTCTGGCCATGTTACCCGAAATCAAAGACTTACTCCGTGTGGCCTAATAAAACATTCTCAGATCCAATTCAACGCGGCGGTGGGAAACCAGTTTTCTTGTGGATGTTTTAGTTCTTTTGTTTCGTGCCTATATCAGTGTCGTGATGTTTAAGTGGAGAGGGTGACTCTCGTCCTCTAGGCCCGGTTATGCCGATTTTGTTTCTTTCTCGTTGAAAAGTGATGCTGGAGGACGGGACGATATGTTTGCAGGTAGAGTCAATGTATCGCTTCACCATGTGGCTCTATTTTCTTGAAATGAGGAAATTTAGTAATGCGCTATGCCACGTCATGAACACTTGAAAGTAGCCAAAACAAAGTGAAGCATCACAGCAAGAACCAACTCACTGGGCAGCTTGTCTGAATGGTAGTCGTAAGGCTGGTAGACGTCTCCCGATAGCTATACTAGCCGCGTTAGTCGTGATGACCGTGAGAAACATGGACATTTGCGGCCCATAGTACGGATATATCCGCACCAGTGTACAGTGCATTCTTTTCAAAGCGCAACCTGGCGTAACTCAGCTGTCTCTGGACCGAATCGGGTCTATCGACATTGGAATTGTCTCAGCTATCGGCACAAAAAAACCCCGAAGGCGATCCAAGGTCGGAGAGCGGAGATATGAGACTCGAACCAAATTCGATCAGCAGAGTCAGCTTGGGTGCGTGCATTTTGAACTTGTTTTCTTGGGGGGGGGGGGCTGACTCGCGGCGCACGCAGCCACAGATAGTTCACGTGATCGTAGAGCCATGTTTCTCAGCTCTCCCGTGAAACATTTGAGCGATCTGCGATGAAATTTGTTGAAATGGCAGAGCATTTGAGTTGGGTGCTCGCAATGCTGGCTTTGGAGCGCCGAATCACGCTGCAGCGCTGGTTCTGGGGATCTAATGATGGGTTGCTGACTATCGCTGTGTTCCTCTGTCCAAGAGCTTTCCAGAAAGCCCAAGATCACCAAAATCGGTCAAAGAAAACCAAAGTTACGACTAGATAAGTAACTTGGCTCGCGTATGCAGTGCATTCCTTGAAATAATTGTGGGCCCTGACGGGAATGAGCGAGTCTTCTTCATGAAGTAGGCTTGGGCGCACACGGAGAGAGTATGTCATCCTGTACACCTCCACGTTCTCTAGAACGCTCCATCACGATCTCTGGCACCGCTGAGAAATCCCCACAATGATGGAAGAGGGAATGCTGAGGAAGTGTTCCTCAAAAATAACATGAGCCACTTTCTTCTTCTTCACTTGCAAACTAACTATTACTTTAAAGTGAAATATTTCCGCGATCTCCCTCAAGTAGAACTTTGCCAACTGTGACGTTGTTGGTGATTTTCTACACTTCTTGGCAAAACGCTAAGCCACTTGTTAGCGTGGCGCGGCTCATATTGCAAAACCAGATAGAAAAGACCCAGGGAAAGATTTGGTTTGTCAAAGGTCCTCGCTCCAAATACTATGTTGAGCCAGGACCATAGACACTCCGACAAAACAAAATGCACTCAAGCTTAATTTTTGAGTATCTCTAATATCGTCAGGTGTTAATAAATCGTTAGGTCCCGGTTTAATCGTTCGTCTTTAAGGAACGTGACTTTCTTTCTCCTTGTCATGCACAGGCACAAGTCTGCCGATGGGACTATTTACGATGACGCCGGAGAATATGCTTATAAACATGAGAGCAAGTATGATGCTGCTTACGAGGGCAAGCGCAACAGAGACTATGCCATCTGCGAGCCATCACACGATGGCCGCTACAGACCAAGCGAATTTGAATTTGGCTTTACCAAAAGCATGGACAGAGAGCAACAGCGACTGCCATATGGCGATTTACCTTCACAGGGCGAAAAATCCAGACCAAACGAGTTCGAACTGAGCTTCACTAAACAATTGGACAACGAAGACAAGTCGTTGCCGCCAGTCAATATCCTTTCTCAGCATGAAAAAGTCGGCGAGCCCCCGGATTCTCCGGCTGGCTATGGTGCCAGGAGTGCTGACATTGGAAAACATTACTTGGTGAAGAACAGCTTCAGCCAGATAGACTCGCCCCTTGCAAGCCAACATCAGATGCTTGGCAGTGTTTGTTCCTCATTCACCACACTGGTGTCATCAGCCTCACTAGACACCATTCAAGGGATTTATAATGGACAATATTGCGGCGAGACATGGGGTCCCGATGCAGCCAGCAATGACCCGGAGAAGGATCGCAGCGCACCTGAGCCAGACCAGACATCTGCATCAAACAAACCACACGGTGACGAACAGGAGCATGGGCATTCACAACTCGAACAGTGGAATGCAGAACCTCAGCGGCAGCAGCCGCTGGCAAGGGCCAGCGGCACCCGTTTCAACCCAGTATCTCTGGTGAAGCGTGTCCTCCAGACGTTTCGGGACCCCTCAGAGGATTCCGAGGCTATCTATGTGAAGGACATGGACCACTTAGATCAGACACCGGTGTTAGCAGCGGTGCCTTCCTCAATCAGTACATACTCCATGGTGCCTGAGGGTAATACTCATTCTACCTGTGATACTGGGCACGCCCTCGACAAAACCAAAATCTTCCAGGATGCAGAATGGATCACAAACGACGAGGACCTTTACACAGAGACGTTCGCTGATTATCCAACTTCAGTTAGCAGTGAAGGTGGGCCAGTGTATGATACCACCTCGTCTTTCGACAGAATCCAAGGTGCGACCGCGCAATTGCGAGGTTTCACAGCACCAACGCTGGGCAAAGTGAAGCGCGTCCACGGACAGTACGTCCTTGAAGCCACTACCGGTCGCCTGGTGCCGCTGAATGCCTTCGGTGTGCCGATCGCTGAAGTCCAGCTACAGGACTATGTCGTGATGAGCGACCCCGACGAAAGCTGTGCTTTGTTCGACAATACAACGTCTGACCTGCTGGCAGTTGCCAGTGCCGACGAGATCAACCAGGCCACCTGGATTAAACGTGCCACGCTGAGAGAAGAGTTTAGGAACGCGCCAGTTCTCTGCGCGGCTGATCTGCAGCCCCAGTATAGCAACGAGCAAGCTGTCGTTAAAGACCCCTCCGGAGACTTTACTTTCATGAATGACAAATTAGGTATTGCTGTGCCAGTGAGGAGCGTGTTCAGTGGCAGGGTCAACGAGGGCAACTTCCAGGAGCGTCTAGTGGCTGTAGATCGGTTTGGTTGCTATGCACTGCTGGAAAAGAGCACGCGTAATCTGGTAGCTACTTGCCTTGTGTCGGAGAACACCTGCTTAGCAGACATGACAATGGAAGACCACGTGGAGTCTAAAGCACCATCCACCTCCATGTATTCATCGCACCTACCTGGTGAAGTATACTCTCGCCCAATACAGCAACTGCAGACAGCAAAGATACACACCATCCAGTTACAAAACGTGATTGAAGACCAAGAGGGACAGTTCGCCTTTGCCACCAATTATGGCGCTGTTATCCCCCTCAGCATCTTCGCGTCCGTGCCAGGATTCGACGGCACGTTCACTGCTCAGTGCAGTGTTTGCTCAGTCAATGACAAGGAAATCGGCCTATTTGAACAGGGCTCAACAGCTCCAGTAGCGGTGGTGCGTCTGGACCAAGTCACACAATATTTGGCTTCATCCAGAGTCAAGCCTGATGTGCAGCAAGTGCGTTCTGTTCATGAAACTGGAAAAGCCAAGAAGGCATTGGAAAAGGATATGACCGGTCAACTTGCATTCAAATCCAAGCGTGGCGTCAGTGTTCCTGTGTCTGTGTTCAACGTAGAAATTGACACTGAGACTGCAATGGAGTATGAGGTCACCGAGACAGATGTCGGAATGGTGGCATTGTTCAACACCGTAACGGGCGAACTGGCCGCCACAGCAGACTGCTCGGAGGCCACTAAGCAAGGCCTGTCGGGGGCAGTGCGCTTCCACGCACAGAATGCTAGGGCCGTGCTTATGCAGCAGGAGAAGATAAGTACACACAACAGGAGCAGTATATACAACGAAGTCAGCGGCACCCAAACTGGCTCCACCGTTGACCAGTCCACCACAGAGGAGTTGTATTCGCTTGTCTCGGGTGACATGCAGACGCCAGATATACGCAGAGCAAATACTTTGAAGGCTCGTGATTATCGTGGAAAACAGGGCCATTCGCAAATCTCTGGCCAGTCCACCACAGAAGAGCAGTATTCTCTTGTCTCGAGTGACATGCAGACCCCAGATATATGCAGAGCAAATACTTTGAAGGCTCGAGAGTATCGTGGAGAACAGGGCCATTCGCAAATCTCTGGCCAGTCCACCACAGAGGAGCTGTATTCTCTTGTTTCGAGTGACATGCAGACCCCAGATATACGCAGAGCAAATACTTTGAAGGCTCGAGAGTATCGTGGAGAACAGGGCCATTCGCAAATCTCTGGCCAGTCCACCACAGAGGAGCTGTACTCTCTTGTCTCGAGTGACCTGCAGACCCCAGATATACGCAGAGCAAATACTTTGAAGGCTCGAGAGTATCGTGGAGAACAGGGCCATTCGCAAATCTCTGGCCAATCCGCCCCAGAAGAGTTGTACTCACTTGTCTCCAGGGCTCTGCAGACCACTCATATACGCAGAGCAAATAGTTTGAAGGCGCGTGACTTCCGTGGAAAACAGGGAATCTCTGGCGCCGCCGCCACCAAGAGCATTAATGCTCTCTGTGAGCAAGTCCAGCCGGGAGCAGACGGATCAGTTGTGAAGCATGCCACTGAGTTCAGCTCACCACCGGAGAGCAATGATATCCATGGTAACGGCGCAGCCACTGCTCTCGACGAGAGCCCAGGAATGTCTACTGATGGTGCAGACGCTGATCATGATGCATCTCCACACGACCTAGACTCCGGTGTCCAGGCATGCAATGATAGCCGCTCTGCAGAGCTGTGCATCGCATCTGCAATCAACTATGCGGCAGCAGCGACCGCCTGCCGTGCCACAGCTGACGACGCGGTGGAGGAGGAGGATGCGTACGCACTTGTTTCAGCCAGCAATGCCACGGCCCTGACCAGTCAGGCGACATTGCGCAAGTCAGTGCGGCTAGCACGGGGTAGGAACACGGACACTGCTGCCACAGCAACGCCACTGCCGGAGGGCGGCTCTGACCTGGACTTGTCTCCACACAAGCAGGAGAGGTCATTCACCACGTTCTCGTTCACCGGAGTAAGGTTCAAATCTGCGCCGGCAAATGGTGAACAATCAGCCGCTAAAGCACCTGTTTCTAGTACTGACTGTTGACTTGATCACAATTGAGAGAAATGCCTATGATATCCCAAATGTTCAATTTCAGATTTTTCTATTTCAACTTCCATATCTACTCTTTCAATAACCCATTATCACTCGCTCAATTTCCATCATCAATGAAATTATATTTTTCTTATGTCCTCACTTTTTTCTTATATCCCTTTAAACTCTGCATAAAACATTTCAAATACTCCGTCACCTGTCTAGTGTTTTCTATCAGCGACTTAGGAATTTAGTTTTCTCGCAGTAACTTAGCACTTTTGTTTTCTACCAGAAACTTAGCACTTTTGTTTTCTCGCAGGAACTTAGCGCTTTAGTTTTCAATCAGAAACTTAGCACTTTAGTTTTCTCCCAGGAACAGTTCTACCCGCCAGACATGACAGAGAAAAAAAGATAACAACCTTTTTTTCATGAGTAAACCGATCTTGGGAAGGTTGTTGAGAGAATAGGTGGTATTATCTACCAGAGCAGGGCTGAGCATGAGATTGGGACCTACTGCTAGTCCGTGGTGGATAAAGCTCGAAACATTTACAGAGTCTGCTCGAAACGCTGCTGGAACCATTTAGGCAGGCACTTCTTGAATTCTCCCTCCATTTTTTTAAACAAAGACCACTTAAATGCCAAACATGAGATTCAGCTAGGGGAAGCTCGCCAAACCTGAATCGTGGCAATGGTGGTGAGGTTTAGGAAGCTCCGCCGACCTAGGGTCTCGACTTCATGGCCACCTGGACCCACCAAGAGTGAGTGGGGGAGGGAGAGCGCGAGAGAGACACAGAGAGAGAAAGAGAGAGAGAGAGAGAGAGAGAGAGAGAGAGAGAGAGAGAGAGAGAGAGAGAGAGAGAGAGAGAGAGAGAGAGAGAGAGAGAGAGAGAGAGAGAGAGAGAGAGAGAGAGAGAGAGAGAGAGAGAGAGAGAGAGAGAGAGAGAGAGAGAGAGAGAGAGAGAGAGAGAGAGAGAGAGAGAGAGAGAGAGAGAGAGAGAGAGAGAGAGAGAGAGAGAGAGAGAGAGAGAGAGAGAGAGAGAGAGAGAGAGAGAGAGAGAGAGAGAGAGAGAGAGAGAGAGAGAGAGAGATGGAGACTTCCTGATGCTCATACCAAACGTGCATGAAACATTTCAAAATATTTACAGATATTTCTGCCAAAGTTTCAGCCGGCATTATCAGCCAAGAGCTAACGTCCGGGCCACCAAACATCAACTAAATGTGGGAACATCCCTCCCATGCATGTTTGGTAATGATAGGTAAAGAACGGGAAAAACACACAAACACTTTGCCTAAGTATTTCCCGTAGGAAACTGAAAACTTGGCGTAAAGTTTGAAAACACTCTCGATAATAATTACTAAGTTTCTTTCTAGCTAGGTTGATCAACGTTTCATTTTGTCTCGGTATAGAGTCCATTGTACGCCGTACAGCTGCATGATTTTCTTGCGCATGGGTCTGGGGGTGACCATTCACGGTTTTTTGTAGATGAGGAAACACTCAATCTGCCGACGGAATTGTTTAGTCCTTTGTGGACTCATCAGCGCAGCACAGAGGAAATGAGGACTAACCTGATAGCAATAATAATAAAAAAAATTAACACAGCTCGCATCTTCCCTGAACCTGTTAGACAGGAGCAAAGTCGACGCATCTGTCAACAGTGTCAAGCCAAGTTACAAGCTGATAATCAATTTAATTTCACGGTTCGCGTCAGACTCGGTTTCTCTATATAGAGGCCGAGTTTTCCGCATCCGTAGGAACGCCACCACCCTTCAAGGATCAAGGCGCAGATGCAGGTCCTAAAGCGGTGGGAGGTGAGTAGATCAGCTCACCAGCACGTGGTCAAAGACCGAAAATCCCATTCACTGCATCCATGTTTTCCTCGTGCCAAGCCACGAGTTCCCGATTAACTGTGGCTGATAGCAATGAAAAATATAATTTCCAAAGCCAGTTTTCAAATGGAAGAAATCACATCGAAACGAGTTCTGAAGCAACTATCCACGACTGTGAGAACTGTAATGTGATTTTTTCTATTTTTAATCACATTTATTCGCTCAGTATCCGAGTTAAAGCCAGTTATACTTTTAAAGTAAAACCAGACCAGAACGTACCTTGCCTGAATGCTCAAACTGATAAGTCAGTGAGGTCTTCCGAACGCAAGCAGCAAAGGCACTACCCCACATAAGAGTGGAAACATCATTTCTGAGGCGGATACAATAATTCTTCTTTTGAATGATGTTTACCAGCAGAATATAGGGCCTGATGGTAGAAAAAAACTCTCTCCAATTCCCGGCATTGTATACAAACAAGCTTGGAACTCTACCTGAATTTAGCAAACGAAATTCTACGGCAGCAGTTGCATGCATGCTTACATGCTGTTCGTGGTAGATCTACTCTGTTACAAGTGGATACAAGTCCCTGCGCCAGGAGGACCAACGTCACCAGCGCGAAGTGCAGCTGGCTTCTCACGTCGAATTGTACAGTAAAACCTGGTTTAAGCGACCACCCCACGGTGCAAGCACAAGCGGTCGTTTTAAAGCCAGGTGGTCTTTACAACCAGGTCCCACAGTGTCTGTGTAGAACCGTCGGTGCATGGAAAGACGTTCGTTAAGAGCCGGTGGTCGCTAAACCCAGACATCGCTTACACCAGGTTCTACTGTACTTTCCACCATGCCTCCAGTTCTTGCAGTTCTGGTGCATGTGATGTGAGCCAGTGAGCCTGATCTCGCTGTCAAGCTACCCCCCTCCCCATGTATATCTACGCCTTGCAACTGTACTTGAACATGCAAACCTCTGCTAGTGCTACTCGAAACCCGTTATTGAAAAGAACCACGAAAGTGGAAAAAAGCTATGATATGAATGCAGAGAGAGCACAAATTCAAAAAGAGAAAAGCAAAATGTGCACCAACAATGTTTATTGAAGGGAAAGGAAACCAAAACGGAAAAAAAGACTCCAAACCCAAACTCTTTCACGTGGTGTCCCAGAAAAAATAAATAAAAATAAATTTCACGGTTCGCGTGAGACTCGGCTGGAAGCCGAGTTTTCCGCATCCGCCGTGGGAACGCCACCACCCTCTAGGATCAAAGGCGCAGATGCAGCGCCTAAACGGTGGGAGGTGAGTAGATCAGACCCACCACCAAGTGGTCAAAGACCGAAATCCCATTAGCTGCATCCATGTTACCCTCGTGCCAGGCCACGAGTTCCCAATTAACTGTGGGTCGCAGCACGGCTGGAAAAATTCCTTCCGCTTCCAAGCAGGACTTGAACCTGGTACCCTCTGTTTCTCAATCATGGTCTTAGACCATCCCACTATGCCTGCCTGCCTCCCAGAAAAGTAGCAACACAAACAAGATTACTTTAAAATTACTTCAAAGGGAAAAGTATAACGCGAGAAGGTAACAACACTATGCCATACATAGCAGCCGAGAGCACTGAAGTACTACTATCATGCGTTCAGCACAATTGCGTATCGAAAATGTAGTAGGAAAGAACGATATTCTAGCTAAAAGAAACAGGTGAGAAGAGTTATAATTATACAGTGCTGGCAACTGAAATCCGATGCGTACACATTCTAGCGGTCTCTATTTCATAGTTTTACTATCCCGTGTTGGGTCTTTGCGATGTGAGCGCAAAGCTGAGGGGTCGGATTTGAGTTGCCAGCACTGTTGTTTGAGATTATTCCGCATATGAACAACGTGACCAACAGGGGGGAGGGGGGAACTGTTTCCAGTTACATACAGGACGTATATAGCAACAAGTAGCAGAGTACAGGGCGTACACGGTTTTGAACTAAGGTTAACAAAAGAAACTCGGAGAAAGATCGTGATGACTAGAAGCTACAGCTTTCGAATCAAATAAAAAAATTAATATTACGGTGCAATTACTAACCCCATCGTTTTTATTATGATGGTGGGGTGTTATTTTATCCGTATCCCTGATTTCAAAAAAAGCTGCGACTCTTCAAACACATCGTAAACGTTGGACACCTAGGTCAACAAACGTACTATTGGGAGAAATAACGACAAATATGTACATTCCCTTTAGTATTCCAGTGAATCCTGGATAAACCGTTCAAGGTAGTCGCTGAGTTCTACCTGTGCACGTGTCATGGGTTCATCAAACAGGAACGCTACACGCTCAGCATCTGCATGAGACTCCTCCTCAGTTGGCTCAGTATGATCTTCAATATCCCCCATCAGTTGAACCTCTAACTCCACTGCGGACATGGACTGGAATTCCGTCTCCTGTTCCTCATCCTGTGCGCACCCGTTATTGTCCACTGTGCCTGGCTCTCCCTCGTTACCACTCACATCCTCCATTGGCACAAAGCTAGTTGCAGGTAGAGATTCATGAGCGATAAGGATGCTTTTGTCTGAAGCAGGCTCGAGCATGTCAAGGTCAATGTTTTCAAGTTCGTCGTCTGCACCTGAATATCCACGTGTTCCAAGGAATGACGTAGAAACCTGTTCAGTTTCGCGTAGGAACTGCCGCTTCGACTTCAACTGGGCATAGGTGTTGTCTCGTTGGAGCACTGGTTTGAGTTGAGCTTCTTTGCCTGTATTGAGTTTTTCGGGCAGGCTGATGTCTGATGGAGGTCTTGATTTCCCGATTCCTCTGCTTCTCGGGACCCATGATCCACTAGACATGGATGGGAGGCTCATGTTGCCAAATGACAATGTATCCTTCAGGCCTTTCTTGGCTTCGTGACCCCTAACCGTGTGTATGAAGATGAAGAATCCCTGCAAGGAGTTCAGAACTGTGAAAACGTACTGCAAGACTAAATGATCGTGAGCCAAGACGAGGAAACCGAAGACCCACGTGACTCCCTGTAGCACCGACAAGGATACAATGACCACAAGCATTGGCTTCCGCTCCTTCGCGCCGCCGTGGCTGCCTCCCGAAAATCGCTTTCTTTGCTTTCTGAGAGCGTTTACCACCGCGATTAGAACCGCTAGGTTGTAAAGAATGGACAAGCCCATAGGTGCGACAAGTCCACCGTAGAATACCGAGTCACTGGTGATCCAGCACCTGCAGGGAACATGGCAGAAGGAGCGAAATGATGATAAGATTGGACTCAGATGGCGAGCAAAGGATAAATTTATAGAAACGAAAAGCGTAACTTGTAGTTCCTTGATCCTTTTCTTTTCTAGAGACGATAGGATTCTTTACGTAGATAGAACCATTTACAATATGTACTGTCGTGGACATGGAAATCCGGTCGCCCATCTAGCGGCCCCAGGGCGCTGGCCATGCAGCCGTGGACAAGCTGTACACACATGCATTTATGCGCTGTAGCGCGCTCGTCGCAATGGATCAACATGTGCGCTGCACGCAGCGTTCTGTACTCGCGCTGAGGGCGCCGGCCCCGGTCAATCGACTGGATTTCCATGTCCGCTACAGTAGATCTACATCGCCAAGTTTCAAAATCCACAAAAGGGACCTAAAACACAAGTACATGTACGCGGAATCAATCAAGCACAAGCACAAGCAGAAGCCATAGCCTCCCTAACGCCTGAAGCGTGCAGTGCCATGCTGTGCTTGTCTTCAGAGTCTGTCATGCAACAATAATTGTGACCTATCAAGCTTCGCGCAGCGTTTTGCAGGTGGGCGTATGAGGATGTGAAGCCAAGTGCATGCACGTGGAAGTTTGTGCCCTCTTGCGTGGAAAAGCTCTAGGCTTTTTGGTAGTGTTTGCCAGTAAACGTATACGAAGTACTAGTCACGTGTTCATGACTACATGTAGGGCGGGTTAGAGTCAAACAGTGGACAGAACGTTGCTGTGATTGTAACTCAGAGTTTCATGCACAGCAGTGCATCAGACCGTTGTAGGATCTGCCTCCACGGCATCTTGAGCACTCTTTGTCCTTCTTGTAGTGCTGCTCGTGCTCCTCCCCAGTTCCCCATTGGAGGTCACTGATGGTTGGAAACGTTGTGGTGCATGTGAGGGCATGGAATTTGAAACGTGTTCCCACTTACACATTTCCAGTGCCGTACGCATCTGCCGTTGTCGCCCCTGCTGATATGCCCACGATTACCAGCGGAATCACTGCACAGAACGATAATCAGCACACGAAACTTCAAACATGAGAAGCGCTAACCGACAGCCTTCTAACTCGTAAGGATCTAGGTTAAGTAGAGATCAAAGAGGTGAAGGTAAGCGCAACAAAAGCGAGAACAAGCTTACGTTCCATGGTAAGAAAAGAATGTCGACTGTTACTGGACCATGACGAGCGGTCTAACCATTCGAAGCAGCAAAGCAGCACACCACCTAATTTGGGTGACTCAGAACTTGGATTTTGACAATAAAGGCGAAACTAGCAGGCGAGTGTAAGTTTCCTTATTCCTTGAATCCAAATCAATGTGGATTTGGATTCAAAATTATGTTCGTAGAAATAAATCCAGACATTTGCCCTGAGTCCCTTGTTGAAGTGTCTCCAGTGAGGGTGGAGTAAGGGCCATTTCCATCCTAATTCACATTCGAGTACTCACCGAAGATGGATGCGAAAAGGATGCGCTTCTGGCGGTCCCCGGTATCATCAAACACGATCACGATCTGTTTGTAGAGAAAGGTCGCGTCAACTGACATCCACATGAACGCACATATCAATAGATAGTGCAGCAGAACCGCTAACGATTTGCAGGCCTCAGCGGTTTTCTCCAGGTTCTCGTGGTACAGGACGATGGTGAAAACAGCGAGGAAAATCAGCAGGACAGCGCTCAGGCCAAACATCATACGATGGTGTATGTTCTTGCGAAGTTTCCTGGAGAGATACGGGAAAAACGAAAATCCAGTTGAAATAATTATAGGAATTCGTGACTGAGTGTATTTCAGAACAGCGCAACACCATTCCAGTTTGCCAATACCAGTTCCATAACAACACAGCCAAAATGTACTACACAAGACACTGCAGGGCCAACCTTAGTCCTCAAAAACATTATTCGATCATCACAGCGCAATAGTTTCAAGTATGTCGTTGCGTCCAAACACAAATTTGCGGTGAACAAATTGTAGCATCTTACGGGAGCATAGCTACGATGGTCATTGTGCCAAGAAGTCCCAGCATAGAGAGACCGCAGCCAATGATTGACACGTACTTCAAAGACACATCGGGAATGCCTTGTTGTATCTTTGCCGTCCGTGTCTGTATGTAGCAACAGAAACAAGCGAGATTCATGTTTAGATGGAAAATAATGTATAATTATTGAGGCGGGTAATCTTCATCTTCTCCACGGCGAATAGTATAATGCATTTACACTTTCCTCACCTCCTGTTAACGAATGGTTGATAAATATGGTGGTAAAGACACGCTTGGCAATATGGCGGTAAACACACGCCTGCCCACACACGCTCTATAGCCTGCAAATTTCTGGCACAGAGCTCTCCTTCTCACCACCACCACCATCAGTTCGCGCCTGGCACCTAATCGATGCATGGTTGGCCGTATCCGACATAGCAGGCTGGTACATCAAGTAGCGCGGGGCACATAGAAGATGACACAGCCACGACATAGCTCGATTGTGACGTATGTTTCGTCCCCGTTGGACTCATCAGGCAATCTTCTTCTTGGATGTCTTCATACGGAGCTTGACTCGGGAGAATGAAGTTGAAGACACCACTGCAGCTGTAAGTACAGCTGCAGTGGTGTCTTCAACTTCATTCTCCTCTTAACGAAGGTAGTCAAAATGTGACAGAAGCTGAGCATAGAATTCTCAGTACTTTGAAACTCAACGCCCATCAAATTGATCAAATTTGGTACCGTTGGTAATTAGGTGAAATGGCATGTACAACTCTTTGATCCCTAAACCAAATTTCATACAGTATGTACTCGGATAGAGAGCCAAGGAGCACTCTTGGGACAGTGAAGCACACCACTTGACTAGAGAGCCAAGGATAAATTTATAGAAAAGAAAAAAAGAACAAGGCACTAGACGTTACGCTATGATGTCCACCAACACCAACATTTTCCTAAAAAATAATCGGTTCTTGCGATAACATTGCACGACACTGACCGACGGTACTGTCGTTCTACAACGAAATGGCTGATCAGCTCTAGCACGCCTTGGATGTGCACTCCAACGGCCTTCCAACTTGGAAGGTTTTAGGTTAGAATGAAAACATAGGAGGGGAATTGTGGTCTTGCAGCATCGTCATCGACATGCATGATTGTACATCCACCAAAGTCCTTCACAGGCGAGACTTTCAGCTTGTGGTTGTCTGGGTTGCGCTCACCTTCCCCTCGTATGTTGTTATATAACTTAGAACCGTCCAAGTTGGAATGCTGTTGGAGTGCGCATCCAAAACGTGCTAGAGCTGATAGCCAGTTTTTAGTTGTAGAGCGTCAGCACCGTCTGTCAGTGTCGTGCAATGTTATCGAGTGAGCTGATTGTTTAGTAACTGGTGGTGTTAGTGGACATTGTAGCATAATTTGTAGTTCCTTGGTCTTTTTTTCTTTTCTATAAAATCATCCAGCTTTAAAGCGCTAAACAGGTGTATCCTTCGAAGCTTTTCGTGGACACCAGCACTTACAAACAGCACAGCAAAGTTGGTGAGGTGGTCACAGCTGCACACGGTGCGATTCGCACTCGTCCCATTCTGGAATACTGATGTGCACCCTTGATTGCTCCAGCCACCATTTCCATCATCTGAAAATCGTAGCACAAAAAAATCAAAGAAAGGTCTCCACTCTACAACAATATCAGGAACGTACACGTGTGTAAAGTTAAAAACAATTAATTTTCCCGTTTGAATATTTTCCCTCAGAAACAATGAATAACACTGAATTAGCTAAAACTAATCGTAGCAACTACTATAATTATTTTGCGAAAACACAAACCAACTCCATTCATGCATTCTATTTACTGAGTTCGTAGACAAGCCATGGTGTGATGAATGAGGAAGAGCATAAGCTAATCAAAGCAAAAATTGTAGAAGGGCGTGCTGTGCAGGTGTACTCATACATTACCTTTATCAAAATCCCAGAATACACACGATAACACGTAGCTAGTGCCCTGCAAACAACACGGGAAACACTCGGAATCACACAGTGACAGCCGTATGTACTCCACACAGTGACAGCCGTATGTACTCCACACAGTGACAGCCGTGTGTACTCCACACAGTGACAGTCTAATGTACTCCACACAGTGTATTGATATGGATATGGAGATACATAGCTAAAGTACTGCCAATGTTCTTACGTTCATGCAGCCTCAATGCAACATATTGTTCATCACACCCCCTTTCATCGCCGTACGGTTACAAATATGGAGCAACACACACATACCTGATAGAGTGATTCCAAGAAGTTGAATGACATCAGCGCAGGATCCTGGAGGTTGCTGAGCGCTGTATCCCCTGCTTGAGCTGAGATGATTTCGCTGACGAGTGAAGTGTTTGCACTGAGATTGGTGTCCTTGAAAAGCGTGTGTGTCTTGTAGAGGATGTAGCGAGTAGGAGCAACTGCACACACCGAGCTGTTGGAAAGTCCAAGGCGTTCTGTTGCTGCGGTGATAGTACTGCCTGCGATATCAAATGCAACTCCTTCCTGAGCCACTGAGCACACCAAGTGAGAGGAAATGCGGTGTAGGGGGTGGAAGGGAGGGAAAACAGATACCGAAGGCAAGAGACACATGGAGTCGATTGGAATCAAATTGAATGAATAAAGTGACCTCTGCTCAACACCTCATTGTACGCGCTCTTGTAAGAGTTTTAAAAGTACTGATGACATAATTATGATGGCATAGCAGGGACTGCATTGCGCACCTACCACACGATTCATAGTCGTGTTAAGTTGTATACACGTTCCTCCCTTTGCTGCTCTCTGTCTGTGACTTCCTTTTTCTCATACAAGTAAGTTAAGTACTATCAATTGTGTTTCCAAAAAGTAGACGGGAATTCGCCTATTGTCACCACTGCCTTTCGCGATTTAGGTGAGCCAATCACTATTTGTTGGGCTCTATAAACAGTGGAACAGTGCATCAAATGCCAGCAAATGAAGTTCTTTGCAGGTTAGAGTTTCATGCTCAGTGCTAAAGTGATAATTTAGTAGCCGGATTTTCAAGGAACTAGCCCTGCTCCATCAATCTGTTGTGTCTTGCGCTAGGCATTCGTGACAATCAAGGACTTACTCATCGGGTGTATTTAATAATAATAATTATCCATTGAAAATATGTACTGAATATAATTATAATAATTATTATGGTGTTTGAGTATACTGGGTATTCCGGTGGAAAACATCTGATTATAGTTTCATGCTCAATCTACTCTGTTTTGCGCTAGGCCTTTGTGACATCCGAGCCCTCCAAACACAGGGTGCATCATCCATTGAAAAGATTTCCTGAATACAATAATGCTATGGTTCTTGGGTATACAGAGTGTGCTCCGGCGGAAAACATCTTTGCACGTCTCACCTGCAGCGGACGTATTCGCCTTTCCTACATAGAATGTCCCATCACCCAGTGGTGATATGGAGCGAAATGCTTGGGTCGTGGCGTTCTCCTCTGGACAGCTGACTGCAAAGCCGAGGTTCTTTTCCTGCTTCTGGAACGGCTGGTCGACATCTACAGTCAGTGTTGTGACTAGACGCTCCAATGACTTCGCTATCCTAGACATACACAGACCAGCATTATCAAATACAACACACAAGAGAATTGAGATCTAAAAAGACAACAGAACATGAAACATACAAAGTGGGATAATAGACGCATCCTCGATTGAGAAACAAGAGCATAATTAAAATAGAAGAAATCACATGGAAACGAGTTATGAAGTAACTTTCCACAACTGTAACAAGATAATACCCAGTCGGATATATTTATTGGCTCAGTATCCGAGGAAAGTACAAACAATTCTCGAGGAGAAAAGTTTTATTAATGCTATAATACTGTTTAAAACAGTAATAAAAGGTAAATATATTGTGCCATATCTGTGCGCTATTCTTTTTCAGTAGGACTGTTGATCTTGGCCTGGGTGCGTGAGTAGTTCAAATGCAGGTCCAGCTTCATTATAAATGCGTTTTTCTTGTATGCAACTCGTCCGAAACCACACTCTTGAGGTCTCTGTTAGAGTCTGTGAACGTAATCGCCGTGTTTGAGGCAGTTGGCCGCTTGACCCCATGCACCACTGCTCTGGCCGCAATGTGAGGGTCCTAACCAAGTGTGTCAGCACTCATAATATAATTATACATTCCCAGTTTGCGTACCTCTTGGCTGGCGATGATGAAACCACTGTTGTGTTGCTCTTCACATTCAGGATGTTATCTACTGATTTTAGTGTAGCTTGAGCCACCTGGTCGACAGCGTAGAATACAAACAGGCCAGCCAAATTTGTGTAAGTTTTAGGAGATTATTGTTACCGATTTTCCAAGGCTTATAATATCACTACATCTTGTGTTGCTACCGGGGCTTCATGAGGTGTTTATCGTGCCAACAGTAAGTTTTTGTCCTGAGCGATGTTCAGCCTGCCTGGGCGCTATAAAATGTAGTGATCCAGGAGGACACATGCAATCACGGTACCCAAGCTCAACTGATCAGATGCGAAATCCTAGGAGCACTGTGTATTGAGCGTTGCCACGTCTAAGGTTCAAGGGGATGCTTGTGAGCTACAGAGGGGCGTGAGTCATTCATGTGCCAAATTTGGCAGCAAATGTGTGTAAGTTGTTTTCAGTCATTCAAAAAAATAGCTACAGAATTCAATCTCCAAACATTGCATGTGACACACTATATGATTAGAGTTACCTCCTGTCCAACCGACTGGTTAAAAATTTCATCGTTGCTCACAGCTGTCACCAGGTTGAAGATTGCCGTTGAAGCAAAGTCGATGTCATCATTCGTTAGTTCTGCGCTGTCATTCGTCAGCCTAGCCACTTCTAGTGAGCTATTAAGAACCAAATCGGGTGCAGTTGTATTGAAGTCCACCTGAACAAAGAAGACAATTAACATGGTTGAAGCACCTCGGAGACAACTCTTACCAATTATTCGTGTTCAACGCCTGGCTGGTTGTGTTGACGAGAGGAGGGTGGTGGAAGGGTAGAGAACTTATAGTGCTGTGAGGCTAGAAACTATTTATATTTTCATATGTTTGCTATAGGGCAGGTACTTTAGTCTCGCGTACAGTTTTTTCCAGAATATTTGCAATCGTACACCTCGAATGGATTGCCTCTCACTTCCATCTAGTTCAGCTTAAATCATTCTTGATGCTGAAAATCATGCAATCTGGTAGTTCTAGATAGCTTTCATGCGATTGGAAAATAGAACGTTCTGGACATATTAGTAGCTACGTAAGGTTCTCGACCTAAATCCAATACCAGCCACAGTTTGGTACAGGCTTAGAGACTTTCTATCCCGTTTGTATTCGGTGGATAGTAGAGGCGACCCTTAAGTTAATGTTATAGAATGGAAGGATTGATTACCTTGGCTAGCTGTTGTAGTTTGGCCGTGTTTGGAGTAGGACATGATGTTATGTCAGTAGTTTCCCACTCGGCCATATCCAACATGCTGTTGTGCATTCTAGGAACGATAGCGCAGCGGCGGGTTGCAAACCGAACGACGCCGTCGTCCAGTGAAACAGGACAGGGCAGCGTCTCCGTGGCATTCAGGAATGTCTCCGACCAGTCGAACAGCCCTCGCAACCCGCCGTCAATTGTTTCAGGGCTGCATACGTCTGGACATATTTGGAGCACAGTACGACACGGTTGTTATTCACACATGTATACGTAAGCCCACCCTGCATGTTGGTTGTCATAGGTATCATCTAGAGTGTTTGGAATACAGTCTCGCCAATTACAATACATTTTACCTTCCACACAACATGGAATGTTTGGCAAAGACGCATTTTTACCATATATAATTTTTGTAATGAACGTCCTGACAACACAAGACCAAAGACTCTGATCTCTACCAGGTCATCCCTTGTTAGCAAAGTCCGGAATTCAATGGCAACATTCTGAGACTATATTAATGCGATTAATAGTATTAGTGAAGCGGACATTACAAAATGATGAATGAGAATACATGTATCTAAAATGGTTGTTCCTAATCGATTTTCTTGAGACTATCATCAGGGAAAATCGTCTCACAATAGAGGCTATACGGAGAAACAAACTACTTATAGGTTATCGGATAGTGGGAAGTATACAAGGTGAGGTGTGAAAAAAAAACTAAAGTGGGAGAGAAGACGAAAGAAATTAGAAGAAACGATGTGAGAGTGTTCTGACGGTGTGAGCTACTACATAAGGTGAGTGAAATGAAGGCGTGGAAGCAGGTGAATGTGATAGAGTGAGGAACTGTGAGGTGTAGGTGTATGCGAATGAATACGTGTGTGAATGCTAGGTGAAGAGTCTCAGTTTTGTGACATTTTCTTTCTGAATGCATAGATTAGGATTGTGTTTACGGATGAAAACAGCTTCTAATACCTTAAGTTCACGAAACCTACGAGCACGACACAAAACAGTGAAGCATGAATCATCATACACTGAGCGGCATTGGCTACTAGACAAGAGGTGTTTCTTAATGGCTGACCCTTTCGTTGTGGTCTCACCTTCAGTCCGGTCATCTTCATCTTGGTTGTCCAACTCACTCTCTTCATCACTGCTCTCACCTTCCTCATCCTCTTCCTCTTCCATCCCGTCCTCTGCACCCAACGACAATCCCACGCTACTGCTCGCTGCCAGTCCATGTCCGGTTGTAGATGCCATTACCAGCGCACGAGTCATGCTCCTTGTTACTGGTCTCCGTACCTGTGTGTGGCCATTTCCTTCAGTCTCACGTACCTGTGTACTTGTAGTACGTTCAACCGGTACTGTGTGGTTCTGTTGTAATTGTGCAACTGGCACCTGTTTGCGGGGACGGCCTCGTCCAGGTCGCTGGGCTTTGGCTCCATCTGACAATAGGTACAATGGTACATGTTGTTTGACGCGTGCGTTCAGGTGCTGAAGGGCTCTTCCTACATATCGGCTATCACAATGCCGACATTCAAAATGATAGATTACATGACTAATCAGTTGGGTAGGAAGAACATCCTTCTTCACCGTGAACGCACGGGCCGTAGTAAAGACTGTTGTCAATGCTGTTGTGGCTCATTCTGAGACTACTTCACATTTAAGCTGTATTTCTTGCTGGCCGAGCACAACGAGACAGTCTGTTAATGATGTCTCTCGCAACATTTTCGGTTGCAAATATTGTGGCATCTGGTGCTTTCTTTATCGTCGTTTCTTTTTCTGACTTCTTCAGTCAGATTTGATTCTCACCATTGTCCCTGCCCTCCCATCCTTCATTTCTGTGCATCTTAATTTTACATTTTATAACTTTTGGTCGCGATGTGCTTGTCATGCGTATGCCAAATCGCCACTGGGGATATACACCCGGTTTTCTCCTTCACTACTGTGTCCGTCTATCCACGGGCTTTTCCCGGTTGGATCTACCCAGTAAAATTGTATTTGTATTTGTATTTACGGATTCTCCGTAGGCGTTATCCTAAATCTAAGGAGTCTTCGTCGACAGCTATGAAAAAAAGAAGCTGAGGGGAGAATTTCAGAAGTAGAAGATACTAGTGCATAAAATCACACGTTGAAAACCTTGGCAAATTCCTTTGTGACTCGGAGTTTCATGGCTGAACCAATAATCAGACAACGAAAACAAACATCGAAAGACGAGGGGTGGGTATATTTCACGGTCGCAAGTGGCTCTGCGTTAATTACAGGTATGGGGATCGGATAAAGAGAAAACAAAGTATAGCTGCTTGCTGAACTAGGAGCAATGGTAATGAAGAGTTTCCCATGTAGGCTGGGGACAATGGTGCTCTAGATGTGCGGAGCAATGTGAGCAGGTGCATATGGAAGAGAGGACAAGAGGTAGGATGTATGCTTTGAAATCTGGTTTTTAAAAGGTTGATTTGCAGGGGGCTAAGTGGGCAGTTATTACAGAGTAATCTGTAAGATAGATAGATAGATAGATAGATAGATAGATAGATAGATAGATAGATAGATAGATAGATAGATAGATAGATAGATAGATGGACGAGAGAGCAGACATGTTTTTAAACACGTCTGCTCTCTAAAAGGAATTGCGTGGTCGCAGGAGAAGGAACGTCCTCCTGGAAGCTTTAGTGATATCATTGTCAAGATGCGAGTTCCAGTATAGATTCTGCGTGTGGTGAGGCCAAGGTGGCGAAGCTTTGAGGCCACAGTGAGTTGGGTATGACTGAGTGTGATTCATTGCGGTCTGCGTGTTGTCGCTATTGCTGCCTATGTCCCTGTGTGCCAGTATATGTGGAGCGATAACTGCCCTTTTCTTTGATCTCAAGCTATCGAGATAGTCTTCGGCTGCAAAGCTTGTGTGTATCAAGGTAAATATACTGCAGCATTTCGTTACTTATCTAAGTGAGGGGGTGGGGGTGTATTGCACAATTCTTATAGGAAATGAGTGAGTGTGGCTGGCTAGACAGTCATTTTCCAAACTATGGGTCTCACCATAAGCAAACACTTGCAAGGATCCGGGCACAAGGTTTAGTGAACCCACGATGGTCGTCTCGAGAGCAGCTGTGAAGTTTCCATGAAGGTTGACGGCTGAGCTGTTACCAGAGATTTCTGAAATAAAATCAGCTGGAGCAGTGATGTCACATTTTATATCTACAACGCTTGAGCTGTTCAGGCAGACAAGCAAGATACAAAGTAGACGTTTGATTTTGTATGCAGAATATATCGGGACCCGATGTAGCCAATTTGCTGGGTATTGCCAAAAAGGTTTATGCTTACAACCTCCATGCAATAATCAGATAGATCATCGCACTCGGATATTAAGCCAATGTAATCATGGATACAGGAAGCACTAAATATTACGAGTTATGACCTACTGTCAACCAACGATACTCCATGTCAGTGTAGTGCCTTATTGTCACATTTGTTGATTGTATATTATGATCTAGATAAGTTGGTGGACAGCACTAGTAGGGCATAAGTCGTAACATTAGGTCCTTCCGCGTTCGGAGATCATCGTATCTTCTGATACGGGAACACATTAATAACATAGTGCCGAAGCTAACCTCAGTTGAGCAATAGGGTCAAAATAGGGCCGGTCCGGCACGCCTGCAGCCTCCCCGTCATGCGGATGTGTTCTAGAGTACGGTTATACCTGCAATACTATGCTTCAAAGGTACAAGGTGAGCACCTTACCTTATGAGGGTGTATTGGAAATAGTCGATTTGGACATTCCGGCCGCGGAAGAGGCGCATTAAGATCTAATAAAAAAAGAATCAAGAGTTGTGTATTGAGACCTGTGCACATCCAAGTTGAGGTTCTCCAGAGGCAAAACGTGAAGTAGAATTTTGCGATAGTGTGACCATAATATCCAGGAATTGTAATTTGGTTATCCGCAGAGACATTCCATGGTTTCTTTAAACTCCTTGCTGTGTCACAGAACTAGGAAGCATGACTTAAATAATTGAAAAATAGCATGTTACGTTCACTGTTTTAGTTATACCAACCACATTGTACACGTGTACATAATATACGTACCTCGTTTTCGTACAGTGTTCGCACTTCAGCTGCTGTGAGCATAGCGTGTACACTAGACCCGGAGTAGTCTCCAGACAAGCCAATGTGCGCAACAGCTACAATGGAAAACCAACCAAATACCTTTTCATGAACACTAGCAAGTAAGGGGAATCCCAAAGGTAAAGAGTGTAGTTGCACTCCTCAATATCCAACCAACGTGCTTATTGTGGAGCCCTTGACCTGCACGGCTTGTGATGCCCTGAAAATGGTATAAATGTGCTTGGCGTGCAACTCTATAGAATTCACCATGTGCTAACTGTTGCATGGCTCCAGTTTTGGACGGGGATCTGATTTCAACAAGCGGCATTTGTACTTACTTCTCCTGGAGTGCAGTGTGAAGACAGTAAACTCTCATCCCACACATGTACCGAATACTTGCCTTGAACTGTAAGTTGAATTTGTGACGTGACGAGACCGATTGGATTCTGTACTGTGCAAATGTAGTTTCCGGTGTGGCAAAGCTGCACGGATTCGATTGTCAGCAAGACTGTGTTTGCATCCACCGCCACGATCGCAACACCGGGACACTGTGGAACTGCCTTGGTGCACTGACTGCCCTGTTGATAACACCAATTAGCCGTGGGCGACGGGTGTCCAGTAAAGATGCATGGAACAGTCAAGGCTGATCCTTCGAAGGATAGCAATGTCTCTGGTATTGGAGGATTGATAAAAGGCGACACTGTCCACAATGAGAAAGACAAGAGCAATACGGCAGTTAACATAAACTTTTAATGCATTTGGAAGACGTTTGACGTGTGTATATATATAGTTCGTTAGAGCTAGGTCTCGAGTCGCTGAATGCCTCAGTAGCCTGTCAGTTTTGTGCCATATTATCGCACTTTGACCATTAATTTTATCATCTTGTAACAATCGTGGATAGTTGCTGCATAACTCCTCATGTGTTTCCTCTCTTTTTTTACATTTATTACTGGTTCAGTATCCGAGTTTAAATTATAATCGTCGAATCTTTTCTTTCACTTTTCAACAAAGCGATGTGGTGACTGGTGAAACAATTCTAAGACTACCAATATACCACGCGAGTATGTAAGGGCGAGACAAAAGGTGACAGAAGCGGCGCATTTACTCTGCGAGTGGAAAAAGGAAACGGCGAAGCGATTGACATTTAAAACTCTTTGGATTGTCCCGCAGCTTGGTTGTTCCGCGTTCGCGCGTCTACGAATTTCTTCATCGGGGAGCATTAGGCGCGTGTACATGAAAGTCCTCTAGGCAGGGCCCGTCACTTGGCTATCCATTGTAAATAGTCTCAGGGACGGGATCTACGACCGTAAAATGGCAAGTGATACCAAACTGCAGTGTCTCACCGCTTTGCCCGACTTTTCGCCTATACATCTCGCGCACTAAACACGACGTTGCACACGTCGTCGACGTTAATCCTAATGAAGAGTTCGTAGTCAATTCAATCTGCGTATGCAACAGGAACCTGTCAGTGAACAGTTTCATACAACAGCCAAATTATACTGTGCTGTTCAATTTTGAACACCCTGCATGATGACACGGTAACAACCTTTTCTGCCCCGATATACTGTAGATGGCCTAAAATACGTTAAAGTGAAGTTTTGTTGTACGAGACCTACACACATGACGTTGTCAGGTGCAATGGTGCACAACTTGTTTAGATAGGGCAATAACTTGTTTTGAGTAAACATATCTCCTAGCCTTACTGTGCACGTCGAGAGTTGCTGGATTCCCAGTAGCTATACCACCAGCATACATGTCTTGGTTACTAGCTACACAGTGATAGGTGTCTGTATCCGTCACCTCTGTGCCGTAGATGGTCAGTATAGCATCACCTCGGTAGAACGACACTCTTCCCACCAAATCGTCTTTCTGAAGCAGCTACAAGGAAAACCCAACAAAATGCATCGGGGCTTAGGGCTGAAAACGATGGTACACCTCATCTAGAAATGAGTTAGATCAAGAAGAACTTCGACATCTATTCCATCTAGTGAACAGTCAAACCTAGCTAGTGCTAACGGCATGCTAGTACAATATGTTTTATGAAATTAACATGGGCAACAACTCACCAATCCACTCTTGTACCAGTCCACAGTTGGTGTGGGTACTCCATAGACATGGCACTTTAGAACAGCAGTATTGCCGGCTAAAACTGATTGGTTTGCCGTCACCAGAAGTTGTACGACAGGAACTGTCCACAAGAACGATATCACACAAACCAAGCCAAACTCTTGTGGACCCTGTAAGAAGACCTTAGGGTCTGTTGAGAATGGCCAAGTAAAAACAAAATGCTATCCAAAAAAACCCAAAAAATGGCTGACGTGAAGTCTATGTGGATCTTTCAGCGAAACATCTACTGCGCATCCTGCCAGCTGCCTTCAAAACAGCAACCTAGCTTCCTTATCTGCTTCAAACACAAGACTGTTTTCACATGATAAATTGCCCAGTGGAATAGTGCAGTCCAAAAGAGTGCTTGGTCTGGAAAATGGACGCCGTAAATTGTTCCAATTATTGCCTGGTAAATTTGCCTATTTTTGGAACTAAATTTAAGATATTGGGAGATGACAGTCATTGCTTTCAAGGATATAGCCACGACTCAATGTGGTATTCATGTGAACGCAACTTGTGGTGAGATAGCAGGGGGGGGGGATGTTTGTTGTTATTTCCCTGGTGTTCGCTATACTAGTTACCACCGCTCACTGTTGGCCCGGAAATTCAGTCGTAACTTGGACCCGCTATTTTTGAGGTGTTCCCAAGTTCCGAGGTATCCGGAAGTTGCACATTTGCCATGGGATTTTGTGGACACCAAAGGGAAGGAACCTGCAAAACGTCCAGGGAAAATTATGACAACAATGGAGTGAAGTCTACAGGGTTCCAAATCTGACGTACGCTGTATTAGATATTGTTCCTGTCAGCTTACCATATATATGAACATATGCAGTGGCCTGGGCATCTGGTTTGTGTATGTTCTCCACCACGCATGTGTAGTTGCCCTGGTGTGCGTCATTCTGTACTGATGGGATTGTGAGAGTGGAGTTGACTACGAAACTTCCGCGTAGGTTGACGGCAGTATTGGGCTGCTCCACGTTCACGTATTGCAGAGTATGGCCACTACTGCTGTTGTACATCCAGTAGACATTAGGTGTTGGTAATCCACTGGCCACGCAATACAGAATGACGTCAGTGCCCTGATTTACACGCTGTGTAGACGGAGGTGTGACAATCTCCGGCCGTTCTATACATCGAAAAAATTGTATGTTTTTGAAGAAGACATTTGAATTACCGTAAAAGGAATAAAGAAATCAGTAAATGTATTTCAGAAACCTTCATGCAGACCACCCACTCCAGATATGCCACACTTCGTCATATCGTATGGGATAAGTGTTGCAAGATTCCCATGAACGCCCGTTGTAGGACCAAATTTTAGGGACCACTCTACAAGAACCTTACCTCAGGGGTATGCAGACTCCACTGCAGCCGCTTTAACTCTCACACAATTCTACACAACCACCCACAACGGACTCCCGGCTACAGTACCTCCTAGAACTGTATAATAAATTCGACACCAATTTTCGGCACAGACCCTTCTTCAAGCCTATAGCTCCACAAGAACATGACAATAACATCGTTCTGACTTGGGTACATGAACTTGGTTGCATTTGCTGTGCTATTTGGGTATCCAACAAACTGGACGTCACCACAGAATTCCATTATTGAATGAAACAATGGTTTTGGTTCCAATGAGTAATAGCACAAAAGCATGCAAGATGTTCCGTACCTGCATATGTGAGAGTGAAGTCCAGGCGAATCTCACCAGCTAGATTTCCTAATTTGACAGTGTAATCGCCTGCGTCATTGTGATCCATTTGGAAAAACGTCAGTGAGTGTCCACTAGCAGAAAGAGAGTATAGCGGAGACAGCGCACTCCAGTGGGAGTCAAATTTCTGAAGCAAAACGGAGAAACAGAAAAAGAGGTGTGGGTTTAGTCCTACTTATTGGCCCCAATTGTTGCCATCACACAGCTGCGATGCTTCTGTGCTCAATACTCCTATTTTTTGGTTTTTTGTCAAACTCATTGTGTTGTGCGCTGGTTACTACGTATTGTACTTCGAAGTATAAAGACTGGTGCATCATGGTAGAAAATCTAAGCTGTGAAATTTAAAGCCCTGATATTACCACACAGTGCACCATGTCATTTATTTATTTATTATTTATTTTATTTATTTATTACAGCATCTCATAGCACAGTGAGAACACCGGCCAATACAAAGAGAGAGAGTGTTAGCCAACCACGGCAAGGAAGGTCATCATAGACATGACAGCTATACAACTAGCCTGAAAATGATAAAATGGTTGCAACAAAAATACACTCTATCATCCTTAATTTTTAAATCTTCTGTTGGTATGCCATGCTGTATTGGTTTCTTGTTTTATTTTTTTCACATTTGTTTATAGCTCACTGCGGCTTGAAACTACCAAGGGGCGGGCACTCATATCGCGAGTTTCAGTATGGGGAATTTCTTGCAGATGTGGGACAGCAATTAGCTCAAACCAGTGACCTCTCGGATCGAGCAGGGAAGGGCAGTAAAAAGAGTAAATTATAGTGCCCGTTCCCTAAGGGAACTTACGACGGCCGCTTACACCCGGTAAATCCTGTGGCAGATGCAGCGGCTAATGGTGTGGGTGAGGAGATGAGTCTCACAACCACTGGCGCAAGTGCCGAGAATCTCCATTGGCCTCATCCATGTACCCCTTGATCCTGACCACAAGTTCCCAGTTGACTCTGGGTAGCACCATGGCTGGAAAACCCAATCTCAGGCGGAATCGGAACCAGGGAACTCTCGTATCTCACTCATGGTCTTTGACCAACCAAAGATCAACTGTTTGGGTTTCTTCCGATGTGCCCTACAAATCTACATCCGATACTATACTAAAATATAAGGAATCGATGGGTGACAGGCCCGAAACGTCAATCTTTTTTTCGACATCATTTATAAAAGAATTTGTATTGAAAAAATTCCCTTTTATTTACAATGCAGTTGCGTGATGTCCACCACTTTCTTAACAATACTCTACTATAGGTGAATATGGTGGTCCAACAGCTAAGATGCAAGCAGGCTTCCTAGTTCCTACCTTGGACCATGTGATGTTGGAGTAAGGAACAGGTGGGTGCCCTTGGTGAGTTAGTACCGCTTTCAAGGTAACTTGATCTCCTCTCAGTCCCACTTGTACGGCTTTGGCAGGAGCACCACTCGGTAGAACTGCGGTAGAAGGAACACCAGAAGGCACACACTTATAATATGAATTCGGATGGAGAGCCAAGGATATATTTATAGTAAAGAAAAAAAGGACAGCGAAACCACAAGTAACTGGTGGTGTTAGTGGACATTATAGCGTAACTTGTGGTTTTTTGGTCCTTTTTCTTTACTATAAACTTACGTTATGAATATATTTGAACAGGCGGCGATGTGACAACAGTTTAAGGATGGTAATAAACAGAACCAGTTGAAGGGTCATTTCTCTAGATTTTACTTTCTCTAGAATTTATTCGTGACATCTCAACATAACCTTCCTGAAATGACGCTTCAGCTCGTTCTGTTTATTGCCGTCCTTATGATTTTACCTTATGATTTTATAGTAGAGATTTTCCAAAGTTGTATACAGCAAGCGGTTTAGGTCATACTTTTATTACGCCTCACCAGTACAGCTACGGCCATGTTGCAAAGGTGGCACTACAGACTTTTCATTAACACATTGTTTTAGCGCCAGAGTCATCTAACTATATGTAGTAAATTTTGCGAGCGATGCGTAATTCAGCAGTACTAGAGCAGCCTACCCAGAGTGCTCAACAAGACGAATGTCTAACAGCGCAATGCCCGATGCTGTAGACAGCAAGCTGTTTCGGCCATATAGGCCCCAATCGTAATTTCCTATAGCCAGTCGCATAGTTTCAAAATACAAGCACTTTCGCTACCTATTGCTGTTCAATCCTAGCCTTTACGCACGCATATACTTGAAGTACTAGTAGTAGAGCATTTCCTTTCATTGCCGTGCCCTCTGTTACTTTATGTTAGTGAGATTAGCAAGTGAGCGCCGCACAGTATAAACCGGAGAAGGTTTCTTTCTTGAAGTGCATTCATATCCGCCCAGTAGTGAGCGTTATAGAACATCTGGCTAGATCGGTTATTCAAAACCCCCCAGTAGCAACTCTCTGGGTAGATTGAATCTTACCGTACACTGTCAAAGTCGCTGGAGTGCCTGTCACGGTTCCTCCCCAGGTTTTGCTGGGGTTAGTGTTGTCAGCAAAACAGCGATAGTCACCACGGTCAATGTACTCGACATTGGTGATGTTCAAGATTGACGCACTCTTGGAGAGATGCACTCTATTTGACAGGAAGGCCTGACTTGTCTTGATATCCTTCAATGAAAATAAACAAGGCAAGTTTACATAGGGCGCACACATTTGAATAGTTCTCACACAACAAACGAGTGAGAGTGCAGACATTTGAACTGATAATTGTTGAACCAAACACCAATCATGTCTGACTGTATAATTATTATCGTATTATTATAGTTACCAATGATCTCTGCATATGACAGGCTTTCCTGGACACACTCTTCGAGATTCTTAGCTACCGCGTTAAATTTAACATAAATGAAACACCATACAGGTAGATGCACAGTCCTGGACAGATCAATTCGATCTCCTGAAAATTACTGCCCAGCACTCCACGGCCTTCGTACCACACACACACTGCTCCTCTCATGTAGTGGAATTTCTCTAGCCAGAACTGTTTGAGCGGCAAAGGTAACTGATTTCTCTGCTTTGGTCATACCTTTCCATCGTGTAACCAGGTGAGGCGTGGAGTGGTTATGCCGTACATGTGACAAACAAACTGCACTGTCCCACCACGATTGCTGACAACATCCGTGGGGGGTGACAGTTGTCTTGGCGGAACTGTAAAAGCAAAAACAAAATAGAGCCAAGCACAGTTTTTCAGGGGTGCTCAAAAATGGAACGATGCCCTTCCAAGATATGCTCTACGATAGGATTATGGGTTCAGCGGTTGTGCTCTCAAGCTGCGTCCAATATGAATACAGGCATCTTGATACGGTATGCAGAAGAAGGCAACATGTCATGTTTAAGTGTCCATGCAAGTGCAAGACAGACAGAATGTTTTTCATGGAATACCAAAACTGGGTTAACAATTTATTTTTTATTACTAAGAACACAGCCCTACCAAAAGACATGTGGAGACAAACACAAGCCAAGTTTACCATGGACGTCCAGGCTTGCTGACGACTTGACACTTGGTGAGTATATGTTGCTGGCCTCACATGAATATGTTCCTTGGCTGGCATTGTTGCTCACATTTGTAAGCGTTAACGTGGAAATAGTAGCATAGACTCCCCTCTGCACGGTAGCCAAATCCACATATGATGACATTGTGTAGAGTGCAGAGGTCAGCTGGGATGTGTTGTGATAGAAAGTTACTATAGGCACGGGGTTGCCATGAGCGATACATGAGAAGATCGCAGTGCCCCCTTGGTTAACTGACACACCTTTCAGGGGCTGTGTCACTGATGCAGGCTCTACAGCAAGAAAATAGGGAAGAATTCGCATTATATTGTGGTGAAATTGTCAATTTGTCAGTCAATTAGGTGTTCTCGACCAATAAATCGGAGTTAAAAACATACATGTTGGTATTGGATGCACAAGGTTACTGACAGACAGAAACACAAAACATATTTTACAACAAATCATGGTGAATTTTGTATACTGTCCTTTAAATGACACTTGAAGCAGAAGGGTTTCATTTATCAGTTGAGTAAATTAGCAAACGATGAACGTGTCAGAGAAACGTGCCTGTCAATTCCAGGACACGAACACGTGACTTCCGTTTGTCGATGTCATACGCTTATGGATGCCATCCATCGATGCCATCCGTACATCGATGTCATCGATATCTATCGATGCTCTCTAACTATTAGGTAAGATGTGGAAATCCCTACAGGAGTTATTCAATATTTCTCCTGATGCCGACAAGCAGACAATCCTCCGCTTGTACAATTACAAACCCTGGCCGGACGCATGACAATACGCTCAAGGTGCAGCAGACTAGCATTATAAAGATGCCGACCACATAAACAAAATTGGATTTGCATGTGTTTACCTTGATACTGAACGGTGAAGTTGACTTTCACTTTTCCAGCCGAGTTGCCAAGTTCCACAAAGTATTGTCCTGCAACCCGGTAGATCACGGCCGGTATGGTCAGATTGAGGTAATCTGAGGAAAGGTACCTTTTGTTAGCGGCTAACCATGATGTTTGGCCAACCTGAAACACAAGGAAGAACAATGTAATGCTCATCACCAACCACTCACAGAAAAGTACGAGTCACATGTAAAGGCCTCATATCCATGACCACACATTCCAGCGCACAAGCAAAACATAGGGACCTAGGACTGTGCTCAGATATCTGGTGCAGTGAGGCAGTTACATGAGATGAGCCATATTCGGATTTCCCAAGTTCTGTTTACAAGCAGCGAAATATAAGTAAGAAGGAGGCGATAATGCCATGAGTGAAACTATTCAGAACTATCTAAAACGTCCTGTTCATTATCCGAACAGCCTCTGCCATCAACACCTATCCATTTGGTTAGACGAGAAGGCATACATGCCTGTGTATCTGGTCACAAGGCAACCAACCAAATAAACAAACAAGAAACAAACCTCACCTTGCTCCACGTTATTCCCGTTAATTCGACGGCAGGTATTCCAGGATTGAGCAGTTTCACAGCTAGTGTCAGCGCTCGGTGTTGTACGCCAATTACATGTTGGTACAAAGCAACAGCTCTCGGTGGCAAACGGTTATCTGGGATGGTTTAACACAAACGAACATTAAAATAATTGTTAACGAGTCAGGTACATATTCAAGCTTACATGTATATGGGACGTTGTCAGCGCTCAAAGTGGTATGTCATCTACATTTTATACAAAGCACAGCTCTATGTGGGCAATTTATTATCTTTATAAAACGACCCTAAACGGATAAACGGAGTAGGGGCAACAATTAATAATGGCTATCAACAGGATTAGTTGTTCCTTCATTTCAACGCAAACACTTTCAAAAAGATCATATTCTATCTATCCAGAACGTGTTCTTGTGATTCTCATCAGTGGATTTCGTTTAAATAATCAAGAAATTCGGCAAAATCCGAAAACACCAGAATACCTAACTGTTTGTTACATAGAAGAACAGTGCAAGTGATACCAATGATACGAATTATGAGTACACCAATAGTGAGGAAACAGGATGGGTGACAATAACAAAAATGCAAGTGAGGACAAACCAAGTGTGATAATCATGTATTGCAGTATAATACAATGCTACTAGTAGTCACACCAAGGTACAAACCAAAAACAAAAGGGACCAACAAAACATCACAGGAAAGGTGCGAGCGTTGTGTGAGTGTGTGAGTGTTGTTACAGTAATAGTACACTATCTTTTGGTCGGCACTTGTATCACTTGCATAGTTATTGCTTCCACCTACATGTTGGTACTTGTATTATTTGTAACTCTTCTCATATCTCAGCCTGCTATGCCGGATACCGCCAACCATGCATCGACCAGGCGCCAGGCGCGAACTGATGGTGGTGGTGGTGAGAAGGAGAGCTCTGTGCTAGAACTTTGCAGCCTAGAGAGCGTGTGTGGGCAGGCGTGTGTTTACCGCCATGTGGCCGGGGTGTGTCTTTACCACCATATTTATCAATCTTCTCATATCAATAATAATGTTCTTACTTTTTGTATAATTTCTTGAGTGACGGTAACCACTGATGAAAGTCACAAGAAACTGTTCTGAGTAGCCATAATTGTACTTTAAATTGTTAAACTTGTGTGTGTTGGAATGGCAGAACAACCAATCCTATTGATAGCCATAATGACATGAGCAGGTCATCTTTTTGGAACCCAATACACCACACCACCACAATGCGCTCTTGGTCGATTCAAACTCTGCATTCACATCACCATCACCACAGCGAGGACAATTCCGGTATTATTATTATTATTATTATTAAACGCATGTCCGCGTAGGTGGCGGGGTGCCACTTTCGCTTATGCCATTCAGGATTGATGTCTGAAGAGTAATACGATACAATGAAATGACAGAAGTGACGTTAACAAAAGCCGTTAGCAACAATACCAATAGGACTAATGGAAAACTTCATCCAAAATATAAAATAAAATAGAATATGCATACAACATGTCTGGCGGAATCACGTGGATCACGAGAATCAGTCCTGTTAGGTGGGGCGGGCTCCACGCCATGCCTGTCGGTCCGCTGCCATTGTGCGGACTGCGTCAGCATCTAGCGGCTGGTGGAGGGTAAGTCCTTGCCATGATGACAGTTTCGTCTGCAAGACCGTTACCAAAGTCTTCCGAGGTCGACCCCTGAAGCGTTAAGTGCCCTCGTCGGTGGCCAAGCGAAGGTACATATCCACTGCCAACTGTGGAGGAGCAGTTGGGGCCAAACTAAAGATATGGCCAGCGAGACTGTAGCGCTGCCTTGTGATCATCTCGCTGATGGGGACAGCTCCGCAACGCTTGTACAGAGTGTCATTGCTAATTCGTTTAGGGTACCGCATGTCGATGATGCTCCATAGCTGGGTCCTGTGGAACGAATCCATTCGCGCGAGCCCCGACATCGGTAGGCTCCAAGTACCGCAATTGTAGGTAATGACTGGGATGACGTGGGCGTTGTAGAGCCTCAGCCGAAGACCTTCACTAATCTGGCACCTCCGGGTGCAGACATTGAGGAGTGAGTTGAAGGCGGCGCCGGACAGTTGACGCCTCCGAGCAGCATCTTTGGCGTCACCACGATATATAGATTGATATTGGCAATGACCCTCCAGACAGCTGTTTCGCTCCTCTTGAGCTCACCAGTGGAGGCATATGATGTTGAATGAAAGAATAATAATAGACTGATCCTTATGGTGATGTGAGTGCAGAGTTCGGATCGGCCAAGAGCGCAATGTGGTGGTGTGGTGTATTGGATTCCATAATGGCCGGGTCGTCGCTACTTCTTCTCAAGTTCATTTTTTTAAACAAACAAAAATTGTAAAATATCAGCCTTATGTGGGACATTTCTACCTTCTTCTTCACAACATTTTCTTCTCCTCTTGACCTCTTACCATAGTTACCCTTTTGCGGAGAAGATGCATCGCTTACCTGGAGTTAGCGTCCTTTGAGATATTGCTTTGCTAAATGGGCCGGGGCCGACAGACGTCCATGCTCTCACATCAAACAAGTACCACGTGCTGGGCAGTAAGCCAGTGATGACGATATAGAATGTGTTTGACGGGACCACCACACTACCTGCCATGGCTGTTGGTGAAGCAGTTGAGCCGGGAATCTAGAATTTTCAAACAGCAGAACTGGTTCCTGTAGACCAACGTCACCTTTTTAACCATTTATGGGAAATTACTATGAAGGTAAATTGAGAGAACGAAAAATAGTTGCAACTCTGAGTTTTCACCCTCAATGGCATGCAATCATCAGGAGATAAAGATGCTGTTTGCTACGGAAGTAATGATTCAAGAAGATCAAGAAAAAGATACCAACAAAACAAAAAACGGTTGGGAATATCGATATCAATGCCTCCAGATTTTCACTTCCCGTCACTGGAAAATTCTCCAAGCAAGGCAATATGAACGAACATCAAGCACAGCATAATGCTTGACTGGAACCTAGCACCTCTGCACACTTTCGTGATCATGGTGAAAACGACGAGAGTTTCCAGCAAGTTGTCAAATCAAACCCCTTTACTTAAATAAAACCATTCAATCAACCTGATTTGCCAGGAACAGCTTTGGTAGCATTGATGCTAGTTCTTTACCTAACTGGCTATTTCGTAACCCACATTTTTCCACATGCTCGTTCCACTGAGATTGGCCCACCACAATACACAGAGGGAAATAGTCAGTAAAACAATATAAATTCCAGATCATACGCGACTGAACTTAGCTAACAACATTCTCACCTTGGTCTGCAAGTAATATGAAGCTTCGAACTTGACCAATAATCCATTTTTCTCACTGCATGCCACATCGGCCCAAGTGAAATTGATAGTGCTTGGAGTAGCTGCAATGGCTTTCACACTCGGCGGTGCTCCAAATGGCGCTAGCAAATGAACCGTGTGACGGAAGAATTGTGCAGCACAAACACACCATGTGAAACATCCTTCAGTACAAGCTAAATCATGATGAGGAAATAACTAACCTTTTACAGTGAATTTATCAGGAACGGCTCAGTAACTGTGATTAGCAATAAGGATTACTAGTAAGTCTAATAATGGAAATTCATACTACAGTAATAGACGGTGATCTGGAAGTTCTCAGCGCACAGGTTTGAACAACTAGGAATAATTATAATTATGTTTATTAATGCGATTAATAGTATAAGTGAAGCGGACATTACAAAATGATGAATGAGAATACATGTATCTAAAATGGTTGTTCCTAATCGATTTTCTTGAGACTATCATCAGGGAAAATCGTCTCACAATAGAGGCTATACGGAGAAACAAACTACTTATAGGTTATCGGATAGTGGGAAGTATACAAGGTGAGGTGTGAAAAAAACTAAAGTGGGAGAGAAGACGAAAGAAATTAGAAGAAAAGATGTGAGAGTGTTCTGACGGTGTGAGCTACTACAAAAGGTGAGTGAAATGAAGGCGTGGAAGCAGGTGAATGTGATAGAGTGAGGAACTGTGAGGTGTAGGTGTATGCGAATGAATACGTGTGTGAATGCTAGGTGAAGAGTCTCAGTTTTGTGACATTTTCTTTCTGAATGCATAGATTAGGATTGTGTTTACGGATGAAAACAGCTTCTAATACCTTAAGTTCACGAAACCTACGAGCACGACACAAAACAGTGAAGCATGAATCATCATACACTGAGCGGCGGGGGGGGGGGGGGGGGGTGCTCGTAGGTTTCGTGAACTTAAGGTATTAGAATCCTAATCTATCTAATCTATTAATAAAGTTGTTGTCTCCTCGTCGCCTTTTCATAATTATGTTTATGATGAACAAAACTAACTTTCACTCACCGAATTGTACGGTTTCCACGTCGAGCGCCGAGCTATAAGGTCCAAAGCCAATGCGATTTGCTGCTCGTACGTATATGCTATATGTATGGTTTGCATTCACAGGTATGCTTGTCCGAAGTATGTATGGAGGCAGCACCGTTGTATTTGTGATTCGTTTCTTCAGACAAGTCTCATAGGAAAACCTGCACCAAACGTATGAAAAGGAAGTTAACAGTTAAAATATACTAGGTTCGGAAAAAAATTGGTTGTGAGCAACACTGGCTCACACTCAAATCACTGCTTTTCACCAGAAAAATATTATATTTCAACGTTTCGGTCATGAAATAACCATCATCAGGAATGAAGTGGGCACACCGGTTAGGATGGGTTAATAAAGGAGGAGCGCTGCGAACTGATAACAAATCACACCTGCATGCACTATGACGAGAGAGAGAACAAAAGGACAAAACATCACCAAAAAAAACCAGGTATAGAAATAACGCAATACGCGACAACTCTAAATATGGCACAGGTGCAGGCAACAAACAGAATGTACATGTGCACTAGGTGCGTGCAGACATGTAATTGCAGGCGCTAGCAACAACAGTAGTAGTAACAGTGCACTAGTGCAAGGGGTGCAAAACCACCACTATCCAGGAAGAGCGAGTAGCAGGGCCAGAAATATGTACAAGGCAGTACTTCACCAGAGACTTCACAGGAGGTCCCACCCTGCGTTATTGTTTATGCTGGGGCTCGTATCGCGAATTTGTATTGCTTCGCGTATTCTCCTCCTGGCCCGATCCGACTCAGTGGCAAGGACGCGAACCTCTGTGAATGCCGACTCGCCAAGCGGCAGTACCTCGCCGCCATGGTGAAGTCGGTAGTGCTCGCCCAGGGCTTTTACAGACATCTTGTTGCGTGAGTTATCATTGTGTTCTTTTGTTCGCGTTGCTACACTACGGCCAGTCTCTCCAACATACTTCTCCGAGCACTTGCAGGTCAGACGATAAACCACGTAGGTTCGGAAAGGTATCATTAACACTTCCTAGGAGTATGTCATGGGTGTATGAGTAGGATTGACGGCTGTGCAAAAAAGGACTCGGATGGAGATGGAGATGTAGTTCTTTGGTCCTTTTTAATTTCTATAAATTGATGGCTGTAGGCCAGATTATCAATGTCGAGAGGTTTTGAAATGTCGGAATGATTTACCTTACAGTTTCCTCTACCATCAGCATTGCAAGTCAAGCACTTACAGTACGGTGTAGTTATCGATGGGAGCGTTGTTCTCTAGTGGCAGTCGCCAGGCGATGTCGACAAGGAATGCCACGTTTTTGGATAGTGAAGGGGCCAGCGGAGCATCAGGTACCTCTGCACAAATACAAGTGGAATACAAAGACATAATGTTATTGGAACCATGGAAGAAAAGGGTTTGCTCCCCACACCGGAGCTCGCGCTATTCCGCCGACTTTACTTGACACTTGACTGACTCAGAACGGAACCATAGAGTTAGGTCTAATAGCATCACCATGTTCTAACAGGATCATAAACTGAACATTGATTGGGGCGACCACGGTCAGTTCTGTAACGGCATCGAGGATGAATTGTGTTGGTGAAACTCTTCCGTAATACAAGTTTATACGACAGTGTCAATTTTGGGATTGTAAAAAGTCAATAACAGCACGTCCTCGAGGTCGCTGTAACAAAAAATAATATTATCTGTTACCCGCATATTCTCATGATGAGTGGAGAACCAGAAACAAATGACAGACCGTTTCTTTTTCTTTTTCTTTTTACACGTGATTTCTTCCCTCGTCGATTTCTTTCCTGCTTTTATACCTCGATATTTAGGTACTTGTTTCCCTTCTTCCCATGCTTCATCTTCCACTCTCCTCTCCCCCATTTCCCCATTTTTCTTGCGATATTTATGTGGGAGACTTCCGTGATAAGCATCCATTTGCTTTTGGAGAATCCTTTTAAATAAATACAATACAATACAGTACAATACAAAGACCACTTAAGAGAGCATGTCTGAGAAAACCAGAACATATGTGCAAGTCGATCTCTCAGATTTCGCTCATATTTTGCAGGTAGGTTTGCTTTGGGGTGTAGATCGACATTCCAAAGCCCGCACAAAATCTTTTGAAGGGAACCATGAAATTGGCATACCCCTCAATATTGGCCCATTATTGGCACGATTTATGGGTCTACAAACGAGCCACGGCACAGCGTACAAGAACAAGCTACGAACAAAACTCCATCAAGCCATCATTACCTCACCTTAGAAGAGTTCTTGGGGCAGCACCACTTAGCCACGCCAGCATCCCAGAAGACGAGGGAAATCATCCATTGACGCCACAAATGATCGTCTTGAAAATAGCCAATTTACAAGCGCTGATAAAACAGCGAGCTACGTCCTCAATTAGCAAACACTATACACCGGCAGATAGTAGAACACCTCTTCTAGCACTGAGGACATGTTCCCCATCATCCTTTTGGGGTTTTCTTGAAATAAACAATTTTGAATTTTTCCACTCGACCATTCTGAAATACGTCCAAACTCATACCTGCGCAGGAAAGCTCGCCCCTCCGCGACGTCTAGTCAGCAATTTCTACTCCAACACCACTCCCAACGCTGCAGAACAAAGTGTATTGTTGACTCTGACAAGGAAAAGCAGCGGTGATCACTTGTCACTCCAAACGACAAGCTTCTCCTTGCGCCACCAACATTTTTCGTTGCAACAGTTGATGCAAAAGTGACTGAATTTTTGCGTGTAGTTTTTGGATTTTACTGCAAGAGGAATGATGAAATCACGTGCCTCGAGTCGTGACACAAGAATGCCAGGTCTCGTAGATCACGGTTCAGCAGTTGTTCCGAGTCACCTTGATCAAGCGCTCCTGATCCTGCACTTACGTGGATCACCCGTTGATCTAGATCGGATCAAGTGCATCTTGATGTCCAGTTCAAGAGCACGCATGTCGTGTTGTCAGCTGGGACTTTCCCTCAACATGCAGCATAGTGTAGGGCGAGTAGGGTCAAATCACGTTGTTCATGACGTAAGAAATCTGCCATGTGTGCATACATGTACTTCATGCAACCAGTGTTGGCCGGCGCGCGGCGCGCGCTGGTCAACTCCAAGCGACCTTGATGGCATGGACCACGCTGCTGTTGCAGATCTACGTGGATCATCAGCATGTAAACCAGCCGTAGTTCCTGTTGAACCATGTTCGGGATGAGCGAGGTTAGTATGAAAAAATTCATCCCTGTTCTTACTGCAAGAGGAAATATCTCCAAGAATTCTTGCCAATGCAATACTGCTAGCGTTATAACGATAGTTTCTGCATGTTCTGAGCAGAGCATGCAAGAAATATAATGCATCTTACCTCCTCCCTCATGGTCCGTTTCGAATAGCGCCTCAGGAACGATCGTGATCGTGTGCATTGTGTCGTGTACCAGAAAGCATTGTTCTACGTCACGATCCACGTGATTTCTTCATTCCTCTTGCAGTAAAATCCAAAAACTACACGCAAAAATTCAGTCACTTTTGCATCAACTGTTGCAACGAAAAATGTTGGTGGCGCAAGGAGAAGCTTGTCGTTTGGAGTGACAAGTGATCACCGCTGCTTTTCCTTGTCAGAGTCAACAATACACTTTGTTCTGCAGCGTTGGGAGTGGTGTTGGAGTAGAAATTGCTGACTAGACGTCGCGGAGGGGCGAGCTTTCCTGCGCAGGTATGAGTTTGGACGTATTTCAGAATGGTCGAGTGGAAAAATTCAAAATTGTTTATTTCAAGAAAACCCCAAAAGGATGATGGGGGACATGTCCTCAGTGCTAGAAGAGGTGTTCTACTATCTGCCGGTGTATAGTGTTTGCTAATTGAGGACGTAGCTCGCTGTTTTATCAGCGCTTGTAATTTGGCTATTTTCAAGACGATCATTTGTGGCGTCAAGGGATGATTGCCCTCGTCTTCTGGGATGCTGGCGTGGCTAAGTGGTGCTGCCCCAAGAACTCTTCTAAGGTGAGGTAATGATGGCTTGATGGAGTTTTGTTCGTAGCTTGTTCTTGCACGCTGTGCCGTGGCTCGTTTGTTGACCCATAAATCGTGCCAATATTGGGCCAATATTGAGGGGTATACCAATTTCATGGTTCCCTTCAAAAGATTTTATGCGGGCTTTGGAATGTCGATCTACACCCCAAAGCAAACCTACCTGCAAAATTTGAGCGAAATCTGAGAGATCGACTTGCACATATGTTCTGGTTTTCTCAGACATGCTCTCTTAAATGCCAAACATGAGATGCAGCTAGGGGAAGCACGCACAACCTGAATTGTGGCAGTGGTGGTGAGGTTTAGGGAGCTCCGCCGACCTGGGGTCTCGACTTCATGGCCACCTAGATGCACCCGTTATTTGTTCGCAATGATTGCGCTCACCTAAGACAGTCACAGATGTTTGAGTGCTCATTGTAGCTGCAGGCGTCGTGGCAGTGCAGGTATATGTGCCGTTGTTTGAGCGTGAGGACCGCGAAATGATCAGTGACGTAATTTTGTAGTGAAGCTGACTTGGTAGAGTTCCTTCAACATTAGAAAACGAATACAACAAGAAGATAAGAGCAGGTCAACAACTTTGAAGAATTAATCGCCACGCTAGAGTGGTGGTCAAAAGTGTCGTCAATTGATTTACCCGTCCATCGTATATTGGCACAGCCGCAAACGTTAACTGTTTAACAGTATAAATATTGTGCAGCGATAAACTCGCGACCCTTTCTTCCTAAGCTCCTTGCAATCGAGCTTGTCTGATTTTGTCCTGTTTCCGATGCCATAAGCACACAATAACGTCATGCAAGTAGAAGGCGGCGAATTGATATGAATAGTTCCTACAGAGCATCCAGTTTTGCGTCCTGGTAGTTAGAGTCAATATATTCTTCAGACTTTGTCCATCTTCCATCCCCTCCACTAAAAACATTTATTTGGAATGTTCGCGTACCGGGCCGGTCAAGCACCACCTTCCCGCTTTCCTTGGGACAATGCCACCCCAAGATCAAGCATCAAATACGGCTCCAAAACGGTGGGGAGGGGGCGATCAGATCCACCAGGCGGAGGCCAAAGGGCGAAATCCCATTAGCCATATCCATGTTTATGCGCATGATGATGTTTTCATTGTGCCAGGCTGCGAGTTCACTGTTTATCGCAGCTCGCTTGGAAAATATCCTTCCACACTTCTAAGCAGAATATGATTCCGGTACCTCTCTTTTCTCAATCACGGTCTTAGGCCAACCCGGTGTGCCTGCCTGCCTGCCACTATTATTATTAGACACAATCTCATAGCATGTGACAAGCATAGCTAATGCAGGAACAGATCCCCTGAGACAAGGGCGTTGAGCCAGCCACGGCAATAGTAAGCTAGGAAAACAAAGCAAATATGAATTAAAGCAGAAAATGAATGGAAAATTACAAAGAAAAACGATTAACGGAAGTGAGCACTATCAAAATTCGTGCATCACCCAGGTATTCGAGAATGTTCTTCGATGACAATTATTGTGTCTAGTTCAGTTGTGAAAGGAGATCTTTAAACTGACCAATAGAAGAACAAGTTTTCAGACCGTATGGTGATGATAACCAATGAGAGTAGCCGGAAAACAAAGGGGACTTTAGATACTGGGCTGACTTAACAAGAGGCAGGGTGAGCGCGTTACGGGTTGAGCTTGTCGAAAACCAATTGTACTTCATCATGTGTGAAGGGGTTTTATGAAGAAATATCTTATGAACCAGTGTACAGAGATGGTGCTTATGACGAACGGAGAGAGGAGAAGTGTGTGCAAGTCGATAAAGGGCATCCGAAGGAAAACATCGATCCTTGTTGTAAAGAATTTTAAGTATAAATCTATGGTGGACTTCTAATTGGCTCAGAGTTGTGTCAGAAAGGCCACACCAAGTGGTATCGCAATAGTCGAATATAGGGAGAATATAGCACTGATAAAATAATAGTTTACACTGGATGGGCAAATGAGTGCAATGTGGTTGTAGTACCCCTAAGGCTGAACTGGTTCGCTTGCATACACAGTTGACATGTGCAGCCCAAGAGAGTTTGCAGTCAAACATCACACCTAGATGTTTGTGCTGAGTAACAACACGGATAGGCATAGTCGAGTCAGGGAAGAATAATGGTTGATCAGGAGAGGATGAAGAAATATACATGGCTTCTGTCTTGTCTAAATTGGGCTGGAGTTTCCACGTTTGCATCCACATGACAGTGCTGTTGATGCGATGCTGCATGATAAGGAGTAATTGTGCAGGGGAGGAATCAGAACAGATAAGGCCAGTGTCATCTGCATACAAACTAACATCGAGGACAACTGAAGGTAGGTCATTAACGTAAAGCAAGAATAACAAAGGACCCAGAATGGAACCTTGGGGCACTCCAGACGTTACAGGGAGGGGATCAGACAAGAAATAGAACAAGCGAACAGCCTGAGAACGAGCAGACAGATACGAGGATATCCAACGCAAGGCAGCATCCTCCACCCGGAAGGTGACCTTCAACTTGGCAAGTAAGCCACGATGCCAAACGGTGTCGAATGCCTTAGCCAAGTCGAAAAACACCATTCCCACGTGCTCCCCACAGTTCCTCTTTGTCGCTATGTCTTGGACAAGTCGAGTCACCTGGTATTGAGTTGAGTCACACTAGCACACAATACATTAGCTGCGCATTAATGGTTCCTGAAAATTGTGGCAGAGAATAGGTAGTAGAGGGACAGGGACATGGCAGTCTTGGAATTTCAATCAACTTCAGTTCCTAATGCACATATATACATGCCTACCTGTATCTGTTGTACTCATGGAGATCACCTCTTGACTGGTCAAACCAGGTGCAGTGATGGTCAATATGGGTGATGGGAAACCACTGTAGCCACACGTCACGTTGATCTGGTCTGGTAACACCACCTCGTGCTGCCCTGTGATATACTGCAGCCTGGGACGCACTGCAAATACATGTAGAAGAAATGGGCGATACGAGTGAGCTTTCCAGGTAGTCTTTTTTCTATTGCACATGCAAGTTGTTGTAGAAGTCCCATACAACTACCTTACAGGAGTTCTCATATAAAATCCGGTCCAGGGAGTGAATGCCACGCCAGGCGCTGTGCAGCCCTAGCCCTACAAACTCTGGTATTGCGGGCAGGGGGCAAACTCGAGTGACGGGAGCGGATTTCATTGAGCAGCACTCTAGTAAGTCAGGCAGCAACATCACAAAATATCTTTGTTGGTCTCAGAAAACTCTCACACTTAGTGTGAGGAGTATACGGACTTCGTGGTGTGTGTTGGACAAGCGTGCAATTCATTATGGCTTGTGTTTCCAGTTGGGCAACTAATGTGATATCACGTGTCTTTTGCAATCAGTCTTTCGCTATCAATAACAAGCACATAGTTATGTAACCCTGTTATTATGGCCACCAGAACATTAAATGTTCATAGCGAAGCCTAAGAGCGTGAGCAGCAATACAGATTTTTCATCAAACCCCACACCACTGCTGAGACATGTCGAGACCGGCGGATTCTGCTCGAAAAGGTGGCAGATTCTGCTCGAAAAGCAGAGAAATTGGCAGAACCATACAAACCTTATGGCGGGCAATTCCTCGAATTCGAATTCTGCTCCCTTTCTTTATCCACATACCAAACATGCATGAAACTTACCAGAAAAAGTACCGAATTCTGCCGGCATAATCCGCTGGTGCCAAGTGTGATGTAAACATGGCGTAAACAACATGCCGCTCTATCCTAATTTCCTTAACCTTGGCCACGTTTAGAATAGAGCAGCATGTTGTTTACGTCATGTTGGGCACCCTGTAAGAAGACCTTAGGGTCTGTTGGGAATGCCCAGGTAAAATAATAAAATACAATACAAAATAATGTTTACATCACACTGTGACAGAAAGTGATATCACCAGTTTTATGCACGGCCGTGGCCCAACACGGCAGTTGCGGGTCACCGCACCTATGGGACAGAGTTGAATGGCGAATTCTACGTTACCATACTGAAACTGAGCTACTGGCAGTGTTTTCGGCACTCTTGCCTCAGGCTACCGTTATACTGTAATTGATCGTTACTGTGCTTCCTAACAGCTTGTATGCAGCTCACAACACACCAACACACTTAGAGAGTTGTACTCGACATCACTTACTGTACACAGTGATGAATGCCGATGAATTTGCAATGTCGCTCAGCAGTTCATTACCAGTGAATCCGTTCTTTGAAATGCTTCCGCTACATGTGTATATGCCTCGGTCTGTGAACCTTGCCAGTGGAAGTGTTAGGGTGCTCCGGTAGCTATCAGGAAAACTCTGGTTGCCACTCGACACCAATGCTGTTTGTGCCAAACCAGGATGAAGGGGGCCTCCGTTGTGAAGCCAAGATACATTAGGCGCAGGATATCCATACACACCACACACAAGTACTATTGAACTGTCTTCCGTCACTGTCTGATTTTGCAGACCTGGCGAAAAGCGGGGAGCGACTATAACAGCAGGGAACACAACAGGGAGCATATGGTAAAGGTGATTTAGCACATCGGAATGAGTCTGTATTAAATTCGCACTTTTACCAGGGCAAAACATGAAAATTATCTCTGGTACGCAAGAATCTGATCATGTTTCACAAACCTCTATGCGCACCGCTGCCATCAAGTGGTCAGGGTCATGGTAGTGCTACACTGCCGCGAAGGCAGAGCAAAGTAAACAACACCACAGTGCAGCAAGGCAAGCATTACAGGTTTGTGTTTCATCCTCTATCCAGTCATCAGGCAAAATAGAGATGCTGGCATACTAAGCTAAGTGCTTTCAATATTGCCATACCATTGTTTACATAGCACTTGTACATTGCTTGAAGTATGGTATTGAACAGTACATAAACAGGTGTATTACAGTGAAAACGTGCCCTAACCGTACACCCGTGGTGCAGCGGGAACTGTCTTTGATATGACAGGATTCTGCTTGGTTCAGTGACAGACATTCCATCCAAGGAAATTTGGGTCATGAACATTCGCCCGGTCTATACAGGGTTTTGCTTGGTACCGGGTCCTGCCAACATGGGTTATACTACATCTTGACTGTGACTGGCCATCATCTTTGCAATTTAAAGAGAATAGGCACATTGGAAAAGTCGTGTTGGCTGTGTTGATCTCACCGTAGATATCAAGAAACATGTGCGGCCCTGTGACATTCGACCCTGACGTCAAGAGGGGATCGTGATTATCTGCTTCACAATGGTACACGCCTCTGTCGCTGTACATCAGGTTCTGAATGGACAAATTGAAATTGCCTGGCGATACCTGCAACCTCCCTGTCAGTGCGGAAGGTGAGGCGCTGATTGGCTGGAAAGCAAATGGACAATTGTGGAAATAGAGCGAGGTGTCAAGTCGGTGAATGTCTCAGTAGCTTGTCAGTTTTATGCCCAGTTAGCCCCATCCCTCACACAAACAAGTCAACAAAGAGGCATCTTTGGATTGAGGAGTGCTGGTTTCGAAACAACTGGTTTGAAGCTCAAAGTAGAGCTGGTGTTAGCTCAGAGCAGAGCTGGTGTTAGCTCAAAGTAGAGCTGCTGTTAGCTCAAAGTAGAGCTGCGGTTAGCTCAAAGTAGAGCTGCGGTTAGCTCAAAGTAGAGCTAGTAGCTCAAAGTAGAGCTGCGATTAGCTCAAAGTAGAGCTGCTGTTAGCTCAAAGTAGAGCTGCTGTTAGCTCAAGGTAGAGCTGCTGTTAGCTCAAGGTAGAGCTGCTGTTAGCTCAAAGTAGAGCTGCTGTTAGCTCAAAGTAGAGCTGCGGTTAGCTCAAAGTAGAGCTGCTGTTAGCTCAAAGTAGAGCTGCTGTTAGCTCAACGTAGAGCTGCAATGCTAAATGGATGTAATATAGCGCAAGGCAGAGCCGCAGCGAATAGCTAGATAACACCAGTTGTGAGAGTGGACCCATGAAACCAGCACTCCGTTAGCTAAGCACTATTGACGCACAGCAAGGGTCAATTAATGTCAGCACAGGCAAGCATTGCGCAGCTAGAGTTCAGTAGCTCATTACTCACCCGAGTTGGGGATCATGGCATCCATGGCACGGCAGCAAGCCGGGATGATAGCTGGCGCTATGCGCTTGTTGTAGTCTGGATGTAGCGTAGACACGCATCGCTCTTTCCACTGACCTGCCACTCGGAAGAAGGAGTCGGGGGCACTAGCCATAGCAGCAGTGGTGGCTGCACCAATGTGGACCGAATGCCCGGAGTAGTTCGACTGGGATGGTACACCGGCCGCAGAGACAAGAGACCATACTGTTACTGTGAATGACTGCCTGGTCAGCTGCTGTCTGTTCGAGAGGACGAACAAGAGTTGCTCCGGTCCCTCGCGACGAGTGACAGATGGGTAGCTAACAATGGCAGGGACCGGGCAGTACGGCGGTACAGACGGGCCAATGTCACTAGTAACGCCTTTACCGAATGGGTCCGTCTTGGATGAAAGCAGGAAGAGTTGCAGGCGTCCGTCACCAGGGGAGCTAGTACAGCCCCGTGTGATGCCATTAGTGAATTCAGCGCACCGAAGAAATACAAAGAAGCAGCATGGCGGCTTGGCAGAGCAGCTTGTCATGGCCATTCAGGATACTACTTTTCCGGCGTGCATCCGTCAGGTGTCGTAGGATTGGCATAGTTATAGGAAGGCGAGGGGTGAGTGCCGCCGTACCATGGCATCGCTGGATGCCCTTCAACACCCTCTTCAGAAGCCACGCATCTACTAAGGGGCCAGCAAACCCATTCTCACGGTGGGCTTTATGCACCGCACTCGCATACACAGATACAGTTCAGGGCACGCTGATCATAGTTCACGCATGAATGTGTGTCCAGGAACGATGACTCGGGCAGCAAAAGTGAGCTTCCCCAGGAGGGACTCGAGTTGACGCTGGCCGATGCTGCGCTCGCTGATAGTAGCCATGAGTGGCGCACAGATCTCGGACAGCTTGTCCTCTGGTAGCCGAGCTTCGTGGCGCTCGCAGTCTAGGACAATACCAAGGAAGGTCAATGATGGTGATGGCCCTTCGAGCTGGGATGGAGCAAAGAGGAGTGCCGAGATATGTGAACGCCCGGAGGGGGATGGTGAGTTGCTGGTTGGCTGCAGCCAAACCAGTGGAGATATCGAGAAAGTCATCGAGGTAGTGAAGCCGGTGATCTATGGCAAACTCGTGCTGCATGATCCAGTTGACTGCTGTGGCTACTGAGTCAAAGACGGCTGGGCTGGAGCGGAGGCCGAAAGGCAGAAAGCGCTCGTAGTAGTAGGAGCCTTCCCAGCGAAGTCCTGACGGCGGACTGGGATCTGCCGAAATGCACTGCGTACATCGAGCTTGGACAACTACACAGGCTGTGGGCATGACATGATGATGTTGATCGCGTTGTCAATGCTCGCGTAGTGCAGAGAGAGCGGCTCGGCAGGAATGCTGTCGTTCGCGACGGTGCCTTCCGGACTAGACAGATAGTGGATCATTCGCGGCTTGCCGTTCTTTTTGGGGATGGCACCAATACCAGAGCGCATGAACTGAAATGGAGGTGACGGAAATGGGCCTGTGGTCTCGCTGCGGGCGCAGGAAGCAGCTAATTGCTCGGATATAAATGCCGAGTGAGTGAAAGCCAATGGTAGATTATTAGAGAAAACCGAAATGTCGTGTTGGCCGGCAGATCCAAGAGTAAAGCCACGGCGCAGGCCATGGAGAACATACGCAACACATGATTGATCTGAGTGGTTACGTAACAGGCGGGCAACGTGGTCAGCTAGCAGTGTGGTGTCTGCAGAGTGTATAGGAAAGAAGCTATGTACCGAGTCAAGCGATTCAGTAGCCATTCTGCTAGGAGCGGCGGGGTGGCCAATTGGCTCCGCGCTGCCGCTGGTTGCACATGATGCATGGGTGGTCCTTGCCACACTGGCTGCAGGTGTGGGAGAAGCGGCACGGCGACGAAGAACAGCGACCTCCATTGAAGTTGCGGCAGATTTCTTGGCCGTCGCTGGTATGGTTGCGACCAGTGGAGGCAAATGCTGCTGGCTTCGGGACGAAAAGGACACAAACCGCCCCTGGATGGACCGTCTTACATTGAGCGCATTTTGGGTGTGCATGGCCTGTGACAGCTATCTGCCATAGGTTCACGTCGATGGTGTCCAACCTCTTCGTGCCTGGTTACTGGGCCACGAGCATCCACAGCTGGCGGTCGTACTCTAGCCACGCGCTTGGGAAGAACTGGCAGTTAGCAGTCAGGATCAACTGCTGGTACGCAATCAGTTCAGCAGTGCGGTGTAGGGCAGCAGCCGTGATAACAGACATGTATGTGGTCCATGCCTCGAGCCGGGTAGCTACATGTGTAATTATCATGAACCTTGCGACGCACCTGCTTCGCGTCATCCGACTCAACGATATTTAGCTGGCTATCGTTATTCGGGCTGTGCACCAGCCGGAATGTTGGGCCGGAAGTGTGCAAGAATTTCAGGCAACAAACTTGAAAAATCTACGAACTCCCCTCGCAAGATACGTTCTTGCACAGCCTTGGGCACAGCTGGTGCAGGTGGCTGATCGGGTGGGTTACAGGAGCTTGGCCTGGCGTAGTGGCGGCAGCTGCCGCATTGCCTTGGCCTTGGGTGAGGAGCGGCGCCGAGAGTGAATGCTCTCCGATAATAATAAAATGGCGGCCGACAAAGCCGACTACACCTCGTCCCGTACGGGAGCGCAGAGATCCGTTGAGCCCGCGTCACCTGAGCTGGCGGAGGAGGCATTGGTGCACGTCGGGCTTCTGGGCTCGCGAGCCGTGTCCGCACTGTCATGTTGCTGGTTCTCCTGGCCGGAGCAGACCTCACTACCAAGGGCTAGTTGTGCCAGCAAACGGTCCTGTAAAATACTTTTACTAAGTTTCCTTTCGGATTCAAGCCGCGCTGAGAAGGCTCGCCGCGGAGGGCTTGGCAAGGCATTGCCTTGACAGTGTCGACAGTAAGGTCAGACATACTGAAGAAATACAGTGTCGAGGTGACACTCGGGCTGGCAGCAAAGCTACGAAAGGAAAAGAAACACTGCTGAAGCACGATCCGTTGTCTGGAAGAGCACAACAGGGCAAGCAAGATTTGTTTTTCTTTTCCGCAAAAATGGGCTGGTGCCATTTGTGATTACGCAGCAAAACAAAGCGCATGACGTCAGTCTTGAATGCAGTACAAAGCAATGCAGTGCAGTGTGTGCGCTAGTTCGGATTGTTGCTAACAAGTACTAGCACAGCTAGTACACCACTAGTGCACTTTCTGACTGCTTTTTGTAATATGGTTACAGTCGTGGACAGAAGCTTGATAACTTACTCACATGTGTTCTTCTTCTATTTTAAATAGTCTGTATATCGACTTTTACTGGCAGACTAATAGCTAATTCAGACACTGTACTTTTCGACTAGCGATATGGTAGAAAACGAACCTCTGTGGGTTAATGCCCTCAGACTTCGAAACTGTACTTGCAAATGTTGCAAAAAGGCGGGTATAAGCACCTCTCCTATTCAGGGATACATACAACAGATATCGGAACAGATAATGTGCATTTTCCTTACAGTCTCGCAAGACCGATTTCTATCTTTTACGTATCAATAAGTAGGTACGCGAAGCTAATGCAGGTTAGTGGGTCAAGAATAACATATGTCCCCTTAGAATGTTACTTCTTAGAACTCTGAATGATAAGCACGGTTTAATTGATGGCAGAGTTTACAGCATGAAAAATGAGTGATTACGTCCTGCAAAAGCAGATAAAGCTTGTGTATTACCTGTAGATTGTGAAACCAAGAAATCCGTGGAGTAGGAATGCCAAACACATCACAGTAGAACCCTGCTGTGGATGTTTCTGAGGATTGTACATCATCGGCTGCTCTTCCATAGCTGACGGGAACTGGACAGATTGCAACAAAAGCATTTCTTAAATTCAAGCCAGCTGATAAACGTTTTGAATATCTGATTAGTGTCTTTGTTTTGCACCTTCTCGACATCATCGAACCGCGAGGAGAGAGGAAATAGAAAATTCAAAACCTTAACAGGAAGGGAGATATGGAGACCAATAGAATCAGGAAGGAAAGAACGGGAGCCACATTTTTCGCCCTGAAAAGTAAAAAATGTTTAAGTGGCCATTACATTTGCCGATTGTGTTTTTATTGGATGAATGTAATTTCTCATCCAGAAACACCTTCCGTAGCTTTATGGAGAGTTCAAATATGCCTGAAGCTTAACATACCTAGCACTGACAAATAGAAGGATAATACATCCCAGCCGGCCTTAGTGCTTGCATTCGCTGTGTAGGTGCCTTGCTCCCACCATTTTACATCAGATATGGACAGCATGTTTCCAGCCGCTGAAATCGAAAATGTTCCGGAGGAACCATTTGTTATCTGTCCCTTTGGCCCGTGCCACACAATCTGGAAATATCCAAGAAACACCAACAGGGAAATAATCCAAAATAGACAATTATTATTATATTCCATGAGTTCGCCAGCCTGAACCAGCTGAACCAGCTGAACCAGCTGTAGCATGCACTATGAATATCAAAACGCTACTTTTCAGATTAAGTTACTGAAGCCTTGCGTACTAAGTGACTACTAGTAAACACCAAAATAATTAAAACGCAAGATACCATGGAGCTGAGTGTGCTATGCCAAGTCATGCCCATGCGATCGGGTGCATCATCCGGGGCAATGTATTTGAAATGCCGCAGTCATTCATCACGGAAAAAAGCCTTCTTGCATTTGCACATGCACAAACCGACACACCCGGGCACGAAATAGCAAACAGGAGAGGATCACATCTTACATCATGTGGCACCAGCGCTGGATTAATCCGAGTGTCCGACGTGAAACCAAGTGAAACATCGTGATACTGTTGGATCGTGAAATTCAGCTTCGTCGAGTACAAATGAGGTTTCCCTGCAAGTGAAATATTGACAAGATAAATTGCCTTCTTAAATGTGAAATACATTTTAAAATCACACAGTTAAAATCGTTTTTAAAGAGAAAGACTACTGAGATACTTGCCCTTAGGCATCGTAGGACGAAGACCACGATTGGAAACAGATGGCTTCAGATTCTAATCCTACGCTATATTCCTCTAGCGTCGACTATTTCACCATTAAAGCAACATACATGACTGTAGCTAAATCTAGAAGGAAATGGCTGCTTCGAGTCCTAGGCGGCTACCAATCAGGGACGTTCCCATCTAAAGTTTTACCTGTTCAAAATCCCCGTGTATGTATATTGTAACTTTACTACTTCTTGATGATGCGTTCAGGGTCTTGGATTGGACTGTAGCGGCCTGCATGTGGTCCAGACAGTGTCAACCACTAACCAACAATAAGAGACTTACTGTAGCATTGTGGTGTCGGTGTGGACCATTGCAGATTGTCATCACATGTTACTGTGGCATTTCCAAACAATGCGAATCCAGTCTCGCAGGCTATTGTACCCACATTCCCAGGGTACAGTCTGTCAGCAGTGACATTGCCATACTTCATTGTTGGAAGAGTACATGTCGGCATATCTGAAAACATTCACAGACATTGCAACACTGCTGTAGCTACTGTGGCTGCAAATTGCGCAAACGTCCACAGCCCGGAAATCCCAGACTACATTATTAAAACATAGAAAAAGAAATCACATGGGAACGAGTTTTGAAGCAACTATTCACGATTGTAACACGATGGTAAGCAGTCAGAACGTGCGATATCAGGGCACAAAACTGAAAAAACCACTGAGACATTCAACGACCTTAGACGTAAGTGGATAGTTAGTTCATAACTCGATCCCAGGTGATTTCTGCTTCTATTTTACATGTAAACTGGCACATTATCCGAGTTCACTTTTACATTATTGTAGCAACAAAATATTGCCTCGTCTAGGCTTGTTTCAGCACTTCTTTCTGGTTTGGTCTACTGTTGTCTACGCTGGTACAAAGCTCGCTGTGGTTATCTCAGTCACATGAATATGACTTTAGCGCTTTGAAAAGTGTTGAGTGTTAGACCTCATTTTGCTGGACTCTGCCAGCATCTCTGACTGGTAAACTCCTTTGAGGAGACCTGATAAGGTCAAAGCAGCTCGCTGTCCAGCTATTGAGCATAACAAGGAAGTAAATAGACGAACCAGAACAAATCCGATTGTGAACTGAGTGTGAAGGAACGTGTTCAGCTTATTATCAGGGTCTGGTGTGGACCCTGATGATAGGCCCGCTCAGACAAGTTGGTCTCAAATTTGGGCCAGCGAGGAGACCGTTTTTTGAAGGTGGAGGAGTGAACAGGTATACGTGTAAACGTGGCTGCATTTGGGGTTCACCGACAATTCAAAGCCTGTCCCCACATCATCTATGCCATTAGACAACCTCAGTAATGCTACGAAAAGTAGCTATTGGCCTACTACTCCATCACGCATAGAGACCATTTATATATTTAGATCTCGGAGCCAATTTTCATGGTGGAATCTTCAATTGAGAACATTACGGCTTGGTGACCTTGACTGAAAGAGGATTACGGACTCCTTCGGGCGAAATATACCAGGACATAGAGATATAGAGTCCAATCTCTCTCTGGTCAAATCACTCTGCAATGGGCTTGGATTCAGTCTTGTGGGTTCCGAGGGTTGTGGAGGGAGCAACGCCTGCCTTCACCTACAGTTGGACTGACTCAGCCACTGCTAATTTGTTACGGCATACTCTTGTTAGAATGATCATTTTCCGATAGCAAGTGTGCATTGATCCGCAGTGGAGAATGTTGGCAAAGGAATTACGCCGGATAGTTAAACGGTACACACTCCTGAAGTTGATTGTTCCAACTAGGAACACACGCTTCTTGCCGAACTTGACACTTGACTGACTCACGACTGCCATCCGGAGCACACGAGGAGCACGTCGCACCTTCCACTCGGCAAACCTGCAAGAAAGCACCACTCCCTGCTCAATACACGGTGTTTCAGGGAATTCACCCCTCATCAGTTGAGCTTGAGTAGGCTGAGGAAGATTGTGCCTGAAAAGCACCACTTATATACTGCTCTCCAGGCCAAACCATCACCAGGGATACAAACTTACAGAGACGCTTTGTTTCCAGCGCGACAAACACCTCGTGAAGCTCCAGGTAGCAGCGTGAGTCAGAGTCGCTCATGGAGTTGTGATAAACAGACGTTGAGACAGCGTTGTGAATAGCTATACTGGCTCTCAACGTCTGTTTATCACAGTTTATCACAACTCCATGAGCGACTCTGACTCACGCTGCTACCTGGAGCTTCACGAGGTGTTTGTCGCGCTGGAAACAAAGCGTCTCTGTAAGTTTGTATCCCTGGTGATGGTTTGGCCTGGAGAGCAGTATATAAGTGGTGCTTTTCAGGCACAATCTTCCTCAGCCTACTCAAGCTCAACTGATGAGGGGTGAATTCCCTGAAACACCGTGTATTGAGCAGGGAGTGGTGCTTTCTTGCAGGTTTGCCGAGTGGAAGGTGCGACGTGCTCCTCGTGTGCTCCGGATGGCAGTCGTGAGTCAGTCAAGTGTCAAGTTCGGCAAGAAGCGTGTGTTCCTAGTTGGAACAATCAACTTCATGACTATTACCGCCGAAGTCGCAACTTCTAAGTTCGTATTGTTGTCCCTCACGCGGACGTGCGACTAGTTGTTGGAGGTGACAGCGTTGTGAATAGCTATACTGGCTCTCAACGTCTGTTTATCACAACTCCATGAGCGACTCTGACTCACGCTGCTACCTGGAGCTTCACGAGGTGTTTGTCGCGCTGGAAACAAAGCGTCTCTGTAAGTTTGTATCCCTGGTGATGGTTTGGCCTGGAGAGCAGTATATAAGTGGTGCTTTTCAGGCACAATCTTCCTCAGCCTACTCAAGCTCAACTGATGAGGGGTGAATTCCCTGAAACACCGTGTATTGAGCAGGGAGTGGTGCTTTCTTGCAGGTTTGCCGAGTGGAAGGTGCGACGTGCTCCTCGTGTGCTCCGGATGGCAGTCGTGAGTCAGTCAAGTGTCAAGTTCGGCAAGAAGCGTGTGTTCCTAGTTGGAACAATCAACTTCATGACTATTACCGCCGAAGTCGCAACTTCTAAGTTGGTACACACTCCTGTTGCCCATATTCCATACTTACCTCTTACGCATAGCACAAACATGACATCGGTAGTGCAATCAAAATCATTCCACACATTCGTTGAATTTCTGCTATAGAATAGTCCGATGCAGTCCTCGTCATATAGATCATTCGGCTCACCATACAGCCAGTTGCTGTAAGTGATGTTATGTCCTGTATCTCTCCATCGAAACACACCTTCATTCTGTATAGGAAAGACCGGAATGGTAAGATAGGAGTAATAAGGATTAGAACGAGATCAGTCGAGTCCTCTGCTAAACTACATGCACAAACTGTCACATCTCATTCGTCATCAAGCCACCCCTCTTAGCGCCAATCTATTGAGGAATGAATGCACCATCAGGCACTCCTAGTCATACCACCACAATTATGTAATTGGTGAAAGCACAATGCTGTATTCAGACGTAGACAACCTCTATTTAGACAAAAACAAATAGAATAAAAGCGTTTTGCAAAATTCAGAGTTCGAAGGAGCTGCCTCCTTCCAACTTGGAGTGCCCTCTGCATTCCGAAGTAACGGACAATGGGCTCACAAAAGAAGCGCATTTAGGTTGCGTTTGGTTGGGCATTTTCAGAATGTAAATGACAACCATTCTCGAATGGGAATGGGTAAGAATCACCTGACCAAACAAACACGCCAGAATCAACCGGGAATCACTTGACATAATTCCATGATTTCGTTGCGAAACGGCGGCTCTCTTCTCTTTTACCCAGCTCTAGTTTCCTTGAGAGAGTCAAGGTACTTCTGAGTGCATGATTTGGGGCACTAGAACCTGTTGCTACATTGTTTGGCAACCACTTCCATTCTGATTCCAGAACGATAATGCCCATTCCAGCAAGTGAGGTGGTCATTCTCGGAAAGTAATCATTCTCAGCGATTCCCATTCTGGAATAGAACCAACCTAACCGACTTTTTTGAACAAAAAAACGGGCAAGTATGATTTCCAGTGATTCCCATTGTGGAATGTGACCAACCAAACGCAACCCGAGTCCCCCATTTAGGCAGATCTGAAGGATACCTTCATCACGTGCTCACTAACTGCACCAGAGAATCCATCTCTCTGTAAGTAAATGCAATTAATGCTCACACAGAAGTAGCACATTTCAAAATATAATTGAACTATCTACTTGTCAACACTATGCTCTTGGACCGCATTCGCAACACTATTTAGCACAGCTCCAAGAGTGACTTTGACTCACACTGCTACCTGGGGCCTCAAGAGGTGCTTGTCGCGCTGTAAAAGGAGCGTCTCTGCAAGTTTGTGTCCCTGGTTAGGATTTCACTACAGGGTTGCACTATAGTAAGTGGTACATTTCTTGCACAATCTTCGTCAGTCTACTCAAGCTCAACTGATGAGGAGGGGTAAACTCCCCGAAACAGGGTGTATTGAGCAGTAAGTGATGCCTTCTTGCAGGTGTCCCAAGTGGAATGTGTCGTGAGTCTGTAGGGTGTCATGTTCGAGAGGAAGCACGTGATCTACTTAGGAGCAACCAACTTCTTTACTAATACCGCCAAAGTCGCTACTTCTAAAATCGTGAGGGGAAATGATGTTCTACATTTCTGGATAGTTCATTAATACTCACTTCCTCATCATCTCCTCCCAGCCACACATTCCATTTGACTAGCTGACCAATCTCATCATTCTCCTGTTCATTATATACTCTAGGTAGCCAAGTATCACCACCAGGTTGTGTTCGGCAGAGTGCTCGTGCCTGATGGTAGGAGTGAAGTCCTCGCAAAACCATTCCACAATATCTTGATCCAGGGGCAATTTGCTTCCACGGTGCAACACATGCTGAAAGAATTCAATAAGTTACAACACATAAACTCTACTCAACATTGTGCGGAGGGACTCTTGTTCAAGGCCCATCAGATGGGGCACGAGAAGAGAGGGCACTATCCAAGGAAAGGAAATATACAAGAAATGGACAAATATGTTCAATGCTAGTACATTTATCTCCTCCAGCATAACAGCATCCAAAGAATGACAGAGCCTAGTTTGAGTTTGATGATTTTGACGGCAACCGGTTTGTTGTTGGGACACTTCAATTCTCCTAAATGTATATAAAACTGTGTCAAACTCAGAACTACCGGAAGCATCCTTATGATGCATTTGCGAATTTTAAAATGGGATTGATGTGATGTGGAGATTTAGAATTTCGTGAAATTTTGTGATTATAATTATATTTTTATAGTTTTCCGTGGCACTGGGCTGCATCTCCAGAATTTGAGTATGTTGTTGAGTTTTTCACTTCGCAAGGCCAAACGGGCAACGGTGTCCAATTCTATGGAAGCGGGTATAGTTCAGAAATGCCAGGGAACAACCGTGTGGCATCATTTGACTGTACATACTACAGGCATCAATAAGAGGTCGAATTTCGCTTACAACTACACGTGAATATGTTTGGGAGCAAGGAAATGATGGACCATGGAGATGGTTATTTGTACTTATAGAAAAGATAATATACATGTTCCATGTGTAGTTACGGTCAATATCGTAAGCCTGAGTCCTGTCGAAACCGACAAATTTGTTCGCCCAAAATTAGGACAATGATTCACTGCAATCATAATAATAATTATACAGTAAAACCTGGTGTAAGCGACCTCTGTGTTTAGCGACCACCTGCTCTTAACGACCGTTTTTTCATGCACCGACAGTTCTACACAGACAGAGTCGGACTTAGTTCTAAAGACCACCTCCCTTTTACGACCGCTTTTGCTTGCACCGCCGGGTGGTCGCTTAAGACAGGGTTTACTGTATAGAGAGAGACAGAGAGACACGAGTCACAGAGTACCACGCGTCTGGATTGTTGTAACTAAACGTTTCATGCCAGATGGCAATCTTCAGACAACTGATCAGTTGTCTGAAGATTGCTATCTGGCATGAAACGTTTAGTTACAACAATCCAGACGCGTGGTACTCTGTGACTCGTGTGTTACTGCTCTGCTTCCGCATTGAGCACTCTATCGAACCAGAGGACTCCGCTCTCTGTAGAGACAGAGAGAGATAGACAGAGAGTGGATCTATACAATATTGAACAGTACCCTTCGGCTGTTTCATAATTTCAGAACCGGTTGTGATCTGCTCCACACACTATCGACCGAAACGTTGGTACCATCCGTAGCCGTTACAGACACCATAATTTCCAACAAAATTCATGGGGCACTGGTATTCAGGAGCAACAAAATTGGAATATAAATGTTGGCGTGTGTCTTATGGCTACCAAGGGCAGGGAGCGCTCGGAGGACAAAGGGAGGGATTGTTTCAGTTTGTCATGATCACCATTCATTCATCCCATAGGCCTCTTAGGCTGTGTTTACATGAAGCACACTTACAAGTAGTTCAGTAGGGGTAGGTTGCACTTTTTGAAGCTCCCGTAAATCTTTTTTGGTAGAGCCCAGCCGGCATCAGGCCGGACTGGAGGTAGTTTCCGTAGGGTAGCAGTAAGGTTTTTTAGTAGTGCTCGTAGAAATTGGTGACCTCCGCCATGCCTGGGGCCACCACGAGAACAAACACTCGCGCGACTGCCCTGAGTGATGAAGAGCTGAGGCTGATGGCGTCGTTGCCGGGCATTGAGGTATCTGTAGTAGAAATCCTGAAAACATTGGCCGCATTTGTCTCGGAATCGGCTGATCGGGAGACGCGCCTAAACAAACGGGTTGACGAGCTGTCAAGGCAGCTCAAAGATGTGAATGAAGAGTTAGTGTCTCTCCGAGAATCCGCCATTGCCTTGCGAAAAGCTACCCCAAGGCCAGTTCAAACACAGCAGGGTACGGGTGCGGATCAACCTTCGCGTAGGCGTACCAAAGCAGGCAGTGCGGGTACAGGTACTCGAAAGCATGACACCACGATGTCCCGTAGCGTCCCCAGCAACATTTCCCGTAGCGGTGACGAGTGTGAAGAGGATGGCAGCGTCCCCTGCAACATCTCCCGTAGCAGTGACGAGTGTGAAGGGGATGGCGACCAAGATGCCATCCCCACCAAGTCCCAGACAGATGTGACAGAATCCAAGCCAATCTTCCATGTTATTGAGGATGACTCATGGAAGCTTGTCTCCTCAGAACGACCCAAAAACAAGCGTGCTGTGGTGTATGTGGGCAATATCGCCACAGATAGCACTGAGAGCCACTTCAGGCAATTTATCAAAACCAGGAGTGAGTTTCTGGGCGCCTCCATTCCTGTCCACACCTGCAGTGTATGGCTGTCAGAAAGTGGGCGTGCTTCCGCAAGAGTGACCATCGATGCCACTTCACTCTCCACAGTGACAGCGCCCAACTTCTGGCCAAGGCCCGTATACTGCAGGCCATGGAGGTTCTTAGAAACCAGCTCTGAGGGCAGCACCAGCAGTCGCAGCCACAGCAGCAGAAACAGCACCTCTGCCAGTGTTCTGACTAAACAGCAACAGCAACAACAGCAGCCGGGTTCAACCTCCTCCTCCTCCCCGCCACCACCACCGCCGCCACCACCACCGGCAGACTTCATCTCCACTCCACTACACAGTGGCCAAAAACGGAGAAACTCCCACCTTTCCCCACCAGAGGCTGGAGACCTGAAGAGATCAAACGGATCTGCGCCACAACATGACCAGCATGATGCGCAGCCACCCCAGCAGGATGCCCAGTCCTCCCATGCCCAATGATGGATTCCAGACCTCTGCGACTGCTAGTGACTAATGCATTCAGCCTGAGCAACAAAATAGGTGCCCTGCAGCATGCAATCCTGCAGTATAATGTAGACGTGGCAATAGTAACAGAAACGAAGCTCTGCTCAGATAATTCCTCCCATGAGTTGACCATCCCAGGATACTCACCCCCTATAAGGAAGGATCGAGATGCCCATGGTGGCGGTGTGGCAGTGTGGGCTAGGAGTGAACTATCCATTACCCACCACGACGATATAGATTGCCGTGATCACGAGCTCTTATGGATTTCCCTGGCAATGCACTCCGGAACAAAGACTGTTCTGGGTGCGCTCTACCGGCCTGGCTCTTGTGCAGAGACAGACACCAGCCTGATGGACTACCTAGACAACACTTTGGATGATGTCCGCCGTCTTGGCAGCAATGTGATAATTGCAGGGGACTTCAACGTGCATAATTCAGCCTGGCTACAGAGTAGCAAGACTACCCGAGCCGGTGAATGCCTGGAGGAAGTCTGCGCAGCACATCATCTTGTCCAGCATGTCACCCAGCCAACCCGCGGCAACAATACTCTCGATCTTATCATCTCCGATTTCTCACACCCCGTATGCACCACAGCCTATGCACCACTTGGACGATCTGATCATGCCGTTATCATTGCCGAGTTTCTCCAACAACATCCACGACGCGAAGATCCTGCTGTTCGACAGGTTTGGAAATACGCCCTTGCTGACTGGCACCGCCTGAGAGCCTACCTCCGCAACATAGACTGGCCCGCCAAGATCCATGGGTGTGCGGAGCAGTCCTGTCAGCGCGTAACTGATGTCATCATGCATGGAATGAAACAGTTCATACCATCCAAAGAGCTTGTGGTGCACCAATCCAACCCTGTATGGTGGACACCGGACTGCTCTAATGCCAATCATGCCAAGGAGCGGGCATGGAAGCTGTGGCGACGCAATCCCCGCAACGATAACCACAAGGTCCAGTACATCACAACTGTTAACCACGAAGTGGAAGCGTGTCATGCAGCGCGATTAGAACATCAACGTAGAATTCGCAACAAGCTTACTGCAGGTTCCCTCCGGGACAAAGAGTGGTGGTCAACCATCAAGAGCGCAGCAGGCAAGGGACGTTGCTCTGACATCCCCCTGCTGACCAACCCTGCAGGACAAGAGTTCCACTCTTCTCGTGAGAAAGCCGAGTGCTTTGCAGCGCATTTTGCGAACAAGTGTAGCCTTGGCAATAACGACCTCTGTGCTGCTGACCTGCCTGACCTGCAACGACCTGCCTATGCCACGCTAAAGCACATTCACTTCCGCGCAGCAACGGTCAAACGGCACTTGGCGAACTTGGCTGTATCAAAAGCAACTGGACCGGATGGCATCTCTGCTCGTGTGCTCAAGATGTGCTCATCTGAACTTGCAGACCCACTGGCAAAGCTCTTCGCCCTCTGCTTCTTAGCCGGTGTGCAACCTGGGGCATGGAAACTTGCCCATGTAGTCCCAGTTCACAAACGGTCCTCCAGATCTTTGGCATCTAACTACCGACCAATATCACTGCTAACGATCATGTCGAAAGTCATGGAGGGCATTGTAAACACGCAACTGGTTAACTACCTAGAGAAGCATGAGGTGTTGCCAAACAGCCAGTTTGGATTCCGACGTGGTAGAGGAACCGCAGATATCTTAACGGCTCTCCAACATGAATGGGTCCACACCATAAGTACTGGCGGTTGTGTCCAGGTCCTCGCCGTGGATATTGCCGGTGCGTTTGACCGGGTATCGCACACAGGAGTGCTGTACAAAGCAAAGCAGGCCGGCGTCGACGGACGCCTGCTTGTATGGCTACAGGACTACCTCACCAACCGAAACATCCGCGTTGTGGTTGGAGGCCAGACGTCAGATGCTCAACCCATCCAGGCTGGTGTCCCCCAAGGCAGCATCCTAGGACCCAGCCTCTTCCTTCTATACACCTGTGACATTGAACAATGTTTAACTCCAGGAACGCAGCTGAGCAGCTTTGCAGACGACACCACACTCTACAGCTTAGTACAGCCAACTGACGATCTCCAACAGTCCACCGCCTCCCTCCAAGGGTCCCTC